CAGACAGACTCAAATTCAGATCCTGACTTTGCGATGTGAAAGCTGAGCAGCTTCTCTGCTGAGGGGACTCCAAGCACACACAGCACAAGGTTCTCAGTGAAGGGCGAATGAGTGCTCCATCTCCACCCACCCCACCCCCACAGGCTGCACACGACCCACTCAGCACACGCTCTGGGTCCTCTTGAGCCAGTGTCACTTCTATCATTACCATCGTCATGTTATTATTTAACAAGCAAGACTCCATCGGATGCAACCTAAGAACATCTTTCCTCTTTTCCTTCAGTATTCCGTAAATTCACTCTAGCCCCTCAGTCTCTCTGTGGGTCTCAAATTCCAGCAGAGATCGTGGAAGGAGTAGGGCAACCTCTTTACGGTCCTCCTTCAGACCTCACCTCAATCGCCACCTCCTCAGAAAAGCCTTCCCTGACTTCCACCCAAAACTAATCAAGGTTTCAAAAAGACACGTGTATCTCAATGTTCATCATAGCACTACTTACAGTAGCCAGGACATGGAAACAACCTAAAAGTCCAAAGACAGATGAATGGATAAAGAAGATATGGTACATATATATACAATGGAATATCACTCATCTATGAAAAGGAATGAAATCGGGTCATTTGTAGAAGATGTAGATGGACCTAGTGTCTGTCAAGCAGACTGAAGTAAGTCAGAAAGAAAAAAAATAAATATTGCATTGTAACAGATATATGTGGACTCTGGAAAAAATGGCACAGGTGAATCTATTTCCAGGGCAGGAACAGAGACACAGACATAGAGAACAGACAGGTGGAAAGAGTAGGAGGACAGAGCAGGATGAATTGGGAGATTAGAACTGACATACATACACTCCCGTGTGTAAAATAGTTAGTGGGAACCTGCTATAAAGCATCGGGAGCTCAGCCCGGTGCTCTGTGATGACCTAGATTGGTGAGATGGGGGGCAGGGGGCCAGGTTCAAGAGAAAGGGAATATATGTACACATATAGCAGAGTCACTTCATTGTACAGCAGGAACTAACAAAACATTGTAAAGCAATTATCCTCCAATTTTAAAGAAAAAAGAAGAAAAAAACCTAATCAGGTTCCTACACCAAGGGCTTCCTTCTTCCAGAACTTATGCAGGGGCAGAGAAGCAACTCAGGAAGGGTCTTTCTGCAGCTGCTGAAGCTGGCGGTGGCCCACACAAAGGCCAGATAGAAGGCTGGCATATCAGCACCCCCAGGGGCTGCCTTCAACTGACAAGGATGGGAATTGGTGGATAAATGCCCCAGCTCCTTCCCCTGTCTTGTCCTCAAACTCCAAAGGGCATGCTCTCTGCTGCCTTCTCGAGGTCCCTTATGGGACTGTGGCCCAGGCTCAAGAGTGGTAACTGGCTTCCCCATAAAGGAGACTTTACCAGCCTCCTTCCTTTCCGTCCACTTTCCCACCCCTTAACTGTGTCTTTTTGCGTAATCTCCCAAATAAAGTAATTGCTCTTGAATTTTTGCCTCAGGATCTGCTTCTGGGGAATCCCAACCTAAAACAGCAGTTTACCCTATCCTACCTAACAAATTCGGCAATGGTTTGCAGATATTGGCTGAGTCATGTCCATGTCTCAAAAGCCTGCACAGTGCCTGCATGTAGTAGGTGCTCAATAAGTGACCCTGAGTCTCAGGATTGTGAGGTCACCAGGTGGCAGCATGGAGCGCTGCCCCCACCCCGGTCCTCAGGACCCCCAGCTGGAGAGTGACATTCAAGAAGGGAGTTCACTCCTTCTAAGCTATAAATGTCAGGTTTCATCCACCTCATGCCCCAGGCCACACAGCCTGGAGAGCTGGACCACGGCCCCCAGGGGCCAGGAACTCCAGATGACCCTTCCAGCCCTGCCCAGGATTTCCGGGGTGTCCCTAGGGCAGATACACAGACAGCACGTAAGTCCAGTCCTAAGGCTGCAGGGCAGGGGGCAGGGCTGGGCTCTAACACCATTCCTGGCTGCCTGTCCCCTCCTTGGCATCGGATTCCCCCTGCGGGAGCTCCCTAAACAAGTGGCTGTTCCAGGGACAAGGGTCTACCCTACAAGGCCATGGAGCGAGCCAGCGTCTCATGGGGGAAGGATCCCTTTTTGGAGTCGGGTCTCAGGACTGAGCCCCACCACCTGCGATGAGGCTGGGTCCCAGGGTCTCCCTGGGGGACATCAGGGGTACAGAGAGCTGACCTCTGATGACCTGCCCTGAGACAGTCAGAGGATGGGAGTTGGGGGGTTTGAAGATACAGTGGGAGGGTAGGGTCTTAGGACTTCAGAGTCAGCGGGGTCCAGTGACTCACAAGCTCGGGGACCCTGCATGGGCCACTCTGGGCCTCAGGTTCCTTTTCTATAAAATGGGAATAAAAACAGTCCTCTACTTCTTAGGGTCCAGGGAGGCTGACCTGTAGACGCTGCTGTATTTGAAATGGAGAGCCAGCAGGGACCGGCTGTGTGGCAAGGGGAACTCTGCTCAATATTAGGTAACAACCTAAGTGGGGAGAGGATTTTTTAAAATTTAGTTAATTATTTATTTATGGCGGTGCCGGGTGTGTGTTGCTGAGGCCTTTCTCTTGCTGCGGCGGGCGGGGGCTACTCTCTAGCGGCAGGGCACGGGCTCGGCGTGGCGGCTTCTCCCCTTGCACACACGGGCTCCAGGCAGGTGGGCTCAGTAGCTGCAGCTTATGGGCTTAGCTGGCCCACAGCATGTGGGGTCTTCCCAGGCCAAGGACTGAACCTGCGTCTCCTGCACTGGCATGTGGATTCTTAACCACTGGACCATCAGGGAGGTCCAGGGGAAAGAATCTGATAAAGAACCGATACATGTATAACTGAATCACTTGGTGGTGCAGCTGAAACTAACACAACACTGTTAATCAGCTCCAACATAAAAAGTCGGAAAAAAAAAAATTCTACAATTCTTAAAAAAAAAAATCAGTTCCCTAACTCTTAGGGTTGAGGGAGGTTTCAGTGAGACACTGTGAGTCCAATGCTGAGCATGGTATCCCGCACGTGGTGTACAATTACTGAACAGTATTCCATGATTTATCCAGTGTCCTTTAATCGTCACTGAATTCTTCAAGATGCCATTTTGATGGTATGCTTTTATCATAAGAAGAAGCAGTCTGAGGGGGGATCGGGATGGGGAACACATATAAATCCATGGCTGATTCATGTCAATGTATGGCAAAAACCACTACAATATTGTAATTAGCCTCCAACTAATAAAAATAAATGGAAAAAAAAAAAGAGGAAGCAGTCTGCACAGCGAGGACATGGGGCTGGGTGAGATAAGGGGGGCGGATGGAGAAGAGAGTTGTTCTCCTGAACACGGGGAGAAACGTGTCTTTGGAGCATGAGAAAGGTTCTAGAATATTTTGTGTGCTACCACTTTGGCCTTCGTGCCAATGGGGGTGGGGGGGAGGATGCAGGGGAGGTAGTCTCACCATGATCTCACCGTGACAAAGAAAAGGAAGCTGGCTTAAGGGGCAGTGAAGGAATCAGGAGGTGGCAGAGAAATGCTGGGACTCTAGATCTTAGCCTGACCCCCACGCTCCCCAGTGGTGCTGCCTACTGCCCAATGCCTTTATTTCACTCCCTCTGCGTCCTTGGGCAAGAAGCACAGAAGCCTCACTACCTCCACTCCATCCCATAGAGAAGTCATGATGCTGGGCTGGGGGTCCAGAGCTCTGTCTAGAGTACAGGAGGGCTTCCTGGAGGAGGGGGCCATCTGATCTGAGTTTTGCAGGAGGAATAGAAGTTTCCCAGTTAGAGATGTGTCTGTGTGTGAATGTATGAGTGAGTGCATGACAGTACAGAGGGAATTGTTCATGTGAATTAATAAGGACTTTCTGATCTTCCAGGGGTGCATTCAGAGGGCCACAGACAAGACTCAGGCACAGGACTGCTCCAAAGCTGCTCACAGTCCAAAACAGATGATCAAATAATAACAATAACAGGGATGCCCTGCTTGGGGAGCAGTGGAGGAGCTGAATTGAGTGGGAGGAGATCGAGGGGTGGGAGTGGGCAGTCTTGAGTGAGAAGCTGAGGAGCTAAGCCACTTCCTATTCCTACCAGTGCTGGGGAGCCGTGGCCAGATTCCGAGCAGGGGAGGGAGAGGGCGAGAGCTAAGGGAGGCGATCAGAGTCTGGTCTGAGCCTGCCTTGGCCTCCCAGAGATTCCTAGAGAAAGACAGCCTGGGTCCATCTCGCCCTGGTGGGCCAGATCCACATGAGATGACAGAGACAGAGACATAGAGGAAGAGACGCAGAGAACAGGGGAGAGAGACAAAGAGATACAGGGAAAGTCCGAAGGGGGAAAGACCAAAAGAGACAGGGAGACAGGAAGAGGAAAATGGAGAAACATATAAAGAGACAGAGAGACACAGAGACAGTCACCCAAAGGAAGACAGACGATAAAGACAAGGAGACAGACTGGTCAGACAGAGGTGGGAGTTATCCAGGGAGGCCCCCAGGGGTGGCAGAAGACGGGGTGCGGCCCTGACCCCCAGTACCTGGAGGGACCCAGAAGGAGGGGGAAGAAGGGAGAACAGGCGCCTTCTCTGCCCACCTCACTCCTACTCTCACCCACCCACCAGCCCTCTTCAGCCCACCCAACCAGAGATGGGGAAACTGAGGCCGGTCCGCAAGTCAGCCTCACCCTCCTAGGTCAGCGCTGTGCCCGCTTGCCCAGGCGGGACCAGTATCACCAGGTTAAAAATGGAAATGGGTCTGGCTTTTTTTTTTTCCCTTTGAGAAAATCCTAGGCCCAAATAAGGCTAGGGCTGCGGGGAGGCCGGTGAGCTGGCCAAGTCCTCCTGAGCAAGCAAGCAAGTGGCGGCTGGCCCAGGCGGCCTGTGTTTGGGCCTCCTCCAAGACTCGCCCCGCAGCAGGGCGGCGCACCCCGGGAGCCTATAAGGGCCTCTCCACCGCCCCGGCTGCTCACTTGACGCCACAGCCGCCGCAGCCCCCTCTGCACCCACGGCCCCCCACCACCCAGCCATGGAGGCCATCAAGAAGAAGATGCAGATGCTGAAGCTGGACAAGGAGAACGCCATCGACCGGGCCGAGCAGGCAGAGTCGGATAAGAAAGCTGCTGAGGAGAAGTGCAAGCAGGTGATGTACCTCCGCTGGGCTGCGCCAGGCTGCCCAGCACCCTCTCTGAGCTGGTGAGGTTCTGGGGCGGAGGGCGGGGATCTCAGGAAACCTTAGGACTTGGGAGACTGGGGCTGAGACAGGGGGTGGGGCTCTGGCTGAGAGAGAGTAAGGGGACTATTGTCTTCCCAGGAGGGGTCCCTGGGCTGGGAGAGAGGGGGCCGCCTGGACCCATTTCCAGCAAGGCCAGTGGAAGCAAAGTGAGTGAGAGAGAGAGTGGGAAAGCATGTAAGAAAGGGAGGGGCATTTGTGTGGGCTGCTTGTGTCTGTGTGTGCAAAGATGAGTCTGAGGAGGTGTGTTGGGGTGAGGGGATCGCCATGCGGGGTGTGGTAGAAGGGGTGGTTTAGGGATGCTGTGTGTATGTGAAAGGGATTTGTGTGTGTCTGAGCATTTGTGTGTCTACATGTGTTGTGTGTGTTCTGGCTGTGTGGAGGCCTGAAGGTGACTGAGAATATGTGTGCCGAGGAAGGCCTGAGTGTGTAGCTGTTGACAGTGGGTGTGAATAGGTATGGATGTGTTTGTGAGTCTGAGTGTGTGTTGATGGTGCTATTGCCCTTGGTTTTATCAACAGGGGAAGAGACTAGCTGTGTGTTCTTGCACAAATGTTGACATGCTATTGATGAAATTGTGTGTGTCAGGGTGAGTGAGTGTGTGTGTTGTGGTGACTGCATTTGGGCTGGCATGGGTGCGTGTGTGTTTGTCAGAGTATGTGTGCGCCAACTGCACGGTTGTATTTCTGTTGGGGTATCTGTGTATGAGTGTGGGTGACAGGTGCCTGTTTCAGGGCACACTCAGGTGTGACTGTGAGTGACAGATTGGGAAGTGTGGCCAAGAGTATGGGTGTGTGGTGGGGCAGCTGATGAGGGTTTGGGGCCTGGGGTGGGTAGAGATTTGAGGGTGTACTTGAGAACCTCAATGTATCTCTGAGGGTGCCCTTGCTGTGAGCTTGGCAAGGGAAGGTGGGGGTGCCTCTGGCAGGCAGAGGCCCTGGATTCAGAGCTTTGGGGACAAGATTCCCAGGGGGCCTGGACAACAGGGATCCATCAGAGAGCCAATGGAAGGGGGGCTGGGCTGGACAGTCCCAAGACCTTGGCTTGGGGCAGAGAACTGGAGTCAGTTGTCTGGGTCTGGGTGGTCAGAGTAGCCAATAAGAGGAGGGAAGGGGGTCTTGATCCCTCCCAGAGTAGCCTGCCCCACCTGAGGTCAACTGCCAAGCCTTGGGGAGCTTCAGGGTCTCCGCTAAGCCCCAGGAGACGCCCAGGATTGGTGACTCCAAGTGCCCAGCCCTGCCCATCCTGGGCGCCAGGCCAGCTCAACAGGTAAAAGTGCAGACTCTGAGCTCAGATTGGCCATGTTCACAGTTCAGGCTTTGGGCATGCTTGCAGCATGCTAAGTCACCTCAGTCGTGTCTGACTCTTTGTGACCCTATGGACTGTAGCCCGACCAGCTCCTCTGCCCATGGGATTCTCCAGGCAAGAATACTGGAGTGGGTTGCCATGACCTCTTCCAGGGGGTCTTCCCAACCCAGGGCTCAAACCCAGGTCTCCTGCACTGCAGGCAGATTATTTACCGCTGGGCCACCAGGGAAGCCACCTTCACTTCTCTGTGCCTCTGTGGCTACATGTGTGAGATGAGGAAGTGACAGTGTTGCTTCCCTTACCACCGTGGGAGGACTAGAGGTGACTAGGCAGGTGGAGCCCTTGGCATGGTACTCGGCACAGTGTAAGCGCTCCATGAACTCAGGATTCTTTCCTACCCCACCCTGCTTCCCCTTTGGGCCTCCCCATCCCCCACTGTCCCAGAGCTACCCTAAGTGCGCCGTAACATATCCGCACAGGACAGCCCCACCCTCAGTGCTCCCTGCCACAAACCCTCCTCCCTCCCTGGCAAACACAAACGCCCATCCTGTGCTGGCCCTGAGCTGCAGCCTCCATCCATCATTTAGCACTTACCGTGAGGGCATGAGGCAGGGCATGGCAACCCACTCCAGTATTCTTGCTTGGAGAATCCCCATGGACAGGGGAGCCTGGCGGGCTACATTCCATGGGGTTGCAAAGAGTTGGACACGACTGAGCAACTAAGAATTCAGCATGAGGGCTTTAGCCAGGGATTCAGATAAAAGCAACTTAATAGCTCTAATTCGCACTAAGGTGTGAGTGACTGATATAGCATACTCTAACAAAACAGTTGTTCAGTTGCTCAGTCTTGTATGACTCCTTTGTGACCCCATGGACTGTAGCCTGCCAGGCTCCTCTGTCCATGGGATTTCCCAGGCAAGAATACTGGAGTGGGTTGTCATTTCCTTCTCCAGGGGATCTTCCCAACCCAGGGATCAAACCTGAAACACCTGAATTGCAGGAGAATTTTTTACCACTGAACCCCGAGGGAAGCCCCAGGGCAGACACGAGTCCAAAAGGGAAGGCTCCTCAAGGCATCCCACCGGCTGCATGGCCAAGGAGGCGGGGATAGGGTCTCTGATCTCCAACTGGATTTTCCTTCTGTTTTTTTTGTTTTTTTTTTTCCTTTTTGCCCAAAGCTGCCTACTAGGGTGGTGCATGCATGCGTGCTCAGTCATGTCCAGCTCTTTGCTACCCCATGGACTTGAGCTCACATCCAGGCCAGATCATCTAACTCTGTAACTAGGGCACATTGCTGCCGCTCTCTCACTGAGTTCCCTCAGTGTTCTCATCTGAGAAATGGGGGCAAATGATGCCTCTGATAGAGGGTACGTCAGATTCCAGAGGTGCAAAGCAGAAGCCTGAGCCCCATAGGGCAGATAGTCCATTCTGCCTGGGAACAAAGGCAGGAGATCATGAAAGGCTAAGCTTATTCGGAGTGCCTTATGCTTCAGGAGGCCAGAGAGCAGGGGTCTTGGGCCAGCCTGACCCTCAGGGACCCTGCAGCAAAGCCCCCATTCCAAGCCCTCTCTGCGCCGTGTGGGAATGGGCCGGGCCTCCCTTGTCTGCTTCCTGCCCACACCCCTTGCAGGGCAGTGATATCCGCCCCAACTGGCCTTTGACCCCACATCCTGCCTCAGCCCAGCCCAAAGGCCCCATTTGCAGGGACTACGGTCTGCCATCCATGGCCTTCCTGGCCACTTTACAGGCAGAGAAACTGAGGCTCCAAGAAGGAAGTGACTTGAGGGAGACCTTGGAGAGCCAGTGGGAGGCTCAGCCTCCCCAGCGAGACACCACACGTCCTAGGTTCTTTGTGCGTGTGCAGTTCAGAGGGACAGGAACCTGACCTGTGTCAGCTTTACTTACTTTTTCAGACCTGGCTCCAACCAGAGGGACTTGCAGTTGTGTCATTGATTCATTCTGCAAACTTCCTCCGGGATTCCGTGGTGAACATTGAGCCCAGCTCTGTGCTGGGCGGTACTGGAGCCCAGGGTGACCTAAGCCCCGGGCCTGTTTCTCAAAGGGCCCCAGCCCCAGAGGGTCTGCTGCCCTTAGTCACTCAGCCCAATCCGACTCTTTGCAACCGTTTGAACTGTAGCCGCCAGGTTTCTCAGTCCCGGGGATTCTCCAGGCAAGAACACTGAAGAATTTCCTCCTCCAGGGGAATTTCCCAACCCTGGGATTGAACCCACATCTCCTGGGTCTCCTGGACTGCAGATGGATTCTTCACCAGCTGAGCCAAGGGGGACAGAGCCCAACACAGAGGCGTACCCCTGCCCCGGGGGTCAGGGTGGGGCCAGAGGGTGGGGCAGGGACTAGGGGCCCAGTGCAACAGTGCAGACCACCCAGGGGAGGGACCTGGGTGGGGAGGTCAATAGGAGGAGGGCTTGCTGGGCCGTGAACACAGCCTAGCCTAGCGGCCAAGCAAGCCAGCTTTGAAGTCAGTCTGACAAGGGTTCATACGCCCTCTCTGAACGGCCTCAGGCAGGTCCTGTTTCCATTTAGGGACTGTTTACCCTTCTGAGCTTCCCTGGTGGCTCAGATGGTAAAGCGTCTGCCTGCAATGCGGGAGACCTGGGTTCAATCCCTGGGTTGGGAAGAGCTCCTGGAGAAGGAAATGGCAACCCACTCCAGTACTCTTTCCTGGAGAATCCCACAGACAGAGGAGCCTGGTGGGCTACAGTCCATGGGGTCACAAAGAGTCGGACACAACTGAGCAACTTCACTTTCACGTTACCCTTTTATGACACTGGCACATTCTGTTTCATAGCCCCCGTCCCCTTTATCACAATCCCCACCCTTTATTGTTCGGAAAAAGTCATCAAAAACAATCTTGACACCCATCAAATGAGCCCAATGCTGCAGAATTTGCCCTCAATCGTTCATGTTATAAGAGCATTGTGCTGGGCATACAGCACCAAGGAAATGCTGCTATAGAAAAAAATTTTTTTTTGGCCACCACAGGCAGGACCTTAGTTCCCTGACCAGGGATTGAACCCATGCCCTGTAGTGGAAGCAGAGAGTCTGAACCGCTGGACTGTCAGGGGAAGTCCTAGCACCTAGGAAATGCTGTACCATACAGGGCTGGAAGGAAGTCAGGTGGATGTTGGGTCAGGCTGACCTGTTTCTTTAAGGAAACTGGCTCATTTTCTCAGTGAAAGCGGAATTTCAAAAGCAGCTGCCAGGGTGCTGGAAGGCCAGCAGATCAAGGCTTCCATTCCGCAGATGACAACAGAGGCCAGAAAGGGGGACAGGGTCAGACAACGGGGATTTGGAGGTCAGCCTTCCCAGCTCCTTGCCTAGATGTCAAGGTCAGGGCCAGTGAACCCTGTCGTAGGTGGAAGCCGCAGCCACCCTCCTCCTTCTCGGATCCTCCACCTCTTTTCCATTCCTCATCAGTAAGACACTCAGAAGGCCTGGGAATGGGAGGCCGGGATAGCAGCCCTTTCAAGAATCTGTTGTGAAACACATACACAACACACACAGCACCTGGCACATTTCACACATCGTCTCAGGAATGAACAGGAGCCACGGGGGGCTGCAGAAAAGTAGGTCGGTTAGGAGGGCTTGTTCAGATGTGGGTTCAGATCCAGTGCTGTGTGACCCACGGATAATCACTCCACCTCTCTGGGCTTCCTGCCATGAGGAGGAAGCAAGAGGAGGATGCAGGGCCCATGCGGGCTGTCTGCTCACCTTAGGAGCATGAATAGGACCAGGGGTCAAACCACCTGAGACATAAAGTCAGATCAAAACCCGAGCTGGACTGAGCACCCCAGCCCAAAGTTAGGGGCCGGAGGGGAGGTACAGAAGGAAGGAGGGTGATAGAGAAGCTTTCTGAGTTGACCTTTGGTGTGGTGGGGGGTGATGGAGAGGTGAAGGGGTCTTTGTATTCCATAGGGCTTCTCAAACTGGGGGTGCTGGGAGGGGGCAAGACTCTGGATAAACGAAGAGGACTGAAAATTTAGGGAGTGTTTGGGACATTTTTATTAAACACATGTCAGACTGCAAGAACTAAAAATCTCTAACCTGACTCTTCCAAGAAAGTGATCTCTAAGGAGTAGCTCTCTTCCAGTAAGCTCCACAAAGTCCCAGGAGTGGGGGACAGTGGCAGGGGTTAAGCCTTTCAAACCTTCAGGGTATTTTGTGAGAACCACTCTCTTGGGCAATTGGGAACCACAGCAGGTTCTAGGTTGGCTCCTTGGGTCAGGAAGACCCCCTAGACAAGGGAATGGCAACCCATTCCAGTATTCTTGCCTGGAGAATTCCATGGACAGAGGAGTTCATGGGGTCACAAAGAGTGGGACACGACTGAGTGGCTAACACTTTCACTTTTTCACTCTTTTGGGCAATAGAGAGCCATGGCAGGTCCTTGCCAGAGGTAGGGTCAACATAGACTTAAGAAGCTTCACTGGCTGCCAATATTGGGAAGGTTGAAGGTAGGGATGGTCCAGGCCAGAGTATGACTGCACTGGGGAGGCTGCAAAATTGAACCCGAGTTTCTAGAAAACGTGTCGGGACTTGTTTCTCAAAAGCTGCGATAGATTCTGCAAGAGTACTGGGAGACCCCGCCAAAAATTATAAACACAGCTGGTCCCAGGACAAGGGAAGGATGTGAAAGCCATGTTAATAGGTACGAGTGGTGCGTTTAGTGAGTGGGGCAGAACATTGCTCTCCCTGTTTCACAGATCAGGAAACTTGGATTCTTGTGAGTGTGGGGGGCGCCCCTGCACCTCGAGGACGGGGCCCCCCAGGCTGATGCGTCCCCCGATCTGTCCCCAGGTGGAGGAGGAACTGACCCACCTCCAGAAGAAGCTTAAGGGGACTGAGGATGAGCTGGACAAATACTCCGAGAACCTGAAAGACGCGCAGGAGAAGCTGGAGCTGACGGAGAAGAAAGCCTCCGACGTACGTGCCCAGTAACGGGGGCGCCAGCGGCCGGGCCGGGTCGGGCCAGGCAGGAGCCCCGGGGCCGGGCGGGCGGGAAGCGCTCGAGGAAGAGGAGGAGGAAGAGGAGAAGGCGGTGCCTCCCGGCGCTTTCTCCAAATAAGTCCCGAAAAGGGGCACTTTCCAGCAGCTGCGGCCAGCGGTGCCGACGTCAGGCCCTCCCCCAGCGGTGCTGACGTCGGCTGCCCGGCCGGGTGACCTCATCGCCCCGACGGCGGCCGGGCCGGGGGCGGGGAGAGGCGGGGGCGGCCCCGGCGCAGGCAAAGGCTCGGGGGCCGGGGCGCGGCTGCTGCAGCTCTTGCCGGAGCCGAGCCGAACCGAGCGCCCGCCGCCGCCCGCCGCCCGCTGCGTGCGCCTCCGCGCCATGGCTGGCCTCAACTCCCTGGAGGCGGTGAAACGCAAGATCCAGGCCCTGCAGCAGCAAGCGGATGAGGCGGAGGACCGCGCGCAGGGCCTGCAGCGCGAGCTGGACGGCGAGCGCGAGCGGCGCGAGAAAGTGAGAGCCCGCGCCCCGGCACCGCGCGCCCGGGCTCCCGCACCCCCGTCCCCGCCGCGCCCTCCTTTCTTCCCTTCTCCCTGAGCCACCCGCTCCCTGCCCGCCAGCCGCTGTCGCCCCTCCTGATCCCACTTTCGCACCCTCGGCCTCAGCGCTCCGGATCGCGGACCGGCTGCAGAGATCCCATCCTCCACCGCCATTCTCCTTCCCTGGCCTGGGACGAGGGGAGGGGGCGCCGCATCCGGGTCGGGCGGGGCTGGTGGAGCGGGAAATGGGGGGGGGGGGGAATAGTCCGGGAGGGGGTGCGCGATCCAGGAGTGGGGAGTGGAGGTAGGGGGCACCCTGCTGCCCTCCGACTTGCCGCCGCTGGCGCCCGGGTCCGGTCGGGGGAGGGCGGGGAGCTGCAGCTCCACCTAGGAGCGGGAAGTGAGAGTGAAAACGTTGAGCTTCCATTGTCTGGGGTTGGACCGGCCGATACTGGGAGTGGGGGTGGGGGCGCCGCACTTTCTCGCCACCTCCAGGGCTTCCCGGTTCCTGCCTAACTTTCCCAGCTGTTCCCAGGGGCGCGGCGGCGACGTGTCTGCTCCAGGCGGGGGGCGGAAGTTCAGTTCCCGAGCCGCCGGCCTTTCCCTTCCCAGATGGTCCCCTGCGGGAACGAGGGCCGCGCGGGACCCTGCCTGGCTCGCGAAGACCCTTGGAATGTTAGCTCGGGGCCCTCGATCCACGGTCGTTTGTGTGCGGCCACTGCAAAATGCGGGGCCTGGGACTGAATGGGGGTGGGGGGGCTCACTGCCCTCTCTCCGTCCCTTGATGACCCCTTGGGATGGGACAGGTGGTGGCCACCTCTGGGAGTGGAGAGAGATCTGTATCCCAATCCCATCCTGTCCCACTTGGTACTTGACTCCTAGGAGGAGCGTGTCTCCAAAGCCGAGGTGACAATAACGCCCACCCCCCACCCCGGTAGGATTGCTGGGAGGGACTGTGGAGGAAAACCTCTCTGCCTGGCATATAGTAGGAGCTCTATTCCTGCGCTTTTCTCCCCGCATTCTACCTTAGAGGGGTTCACAGCCTAGTGGGGCAAGGGGAGTCAGATAAGGCTGATTACCATGGGGGGCGTCGGAGGGGTGTGTTCTGCTAACTGAGAGCATGACAGAAAGAACCAGCCAGTGGGATAGGCTTCAAAATGGAGGCTGAGCAGTCTTATAGGGATAAGTAAGAGTTTGCTGGGACAAGAAACTGCAAAGACTCAGAAAGAAAGTTGAAGGAAGAGTGTGGAGGCCCAGGGTCTCGGAAAGCTGGAGTGTTGAGACTCAGGGTGGGGACCCCAGCAGTGGAAAAGATGCCCAGGCAGAGGGCACTGCTTTGGGTGTCGACAGATCTGGGTAAGAATCGCCCCCACCCCCCAAAGAATTGTTTCCGTGCTCGCTGTAGTCAAAGCCTTTAATCCTGCAAGGGCCGCCCTGGCGTGAAGAGCCCTCAGAAACCTGGTGTAAGCCTCCCAACAGTAGCTGGTTTGGCCTCTTTCACACACGTATCCGGCATAACCCTCCCTCTGATCTCATCCCAAGCCATCTCGCTGGAGGACAATTACTCCTGCTTAAAAATGGCCCTCAGCTGTGAGCCAAGACTCAGGAGTGGGACCATCCAGTTGGGAGGAAAGATGTTTTTGGAAAAGTTTCGAACTTCTTAAAAAGCTCACTTTTCAAAGCGGGCTTCTCTTGGTCAGGAAAAGGGGAGAAAGCCTTAAGAAGGTTCCTGGGCAGAAGGAACGAAGCCAAGGGGGGAGGGGAGGCCTTTTTCAGTCTCTTGTAAAGAAAGCCAAGAGCCGGCGTGTGGCAGACTTCTGGGTCTGCCTCCCGACAGCTGGTTTAGATTTTTGTGTGATTAACCGACATCTTCCTGTTGCTTTGCCACATGTATCTAGCAAGCCTCTTTTACCTTATAAGGAAAATCCTTTGTAGAGTGTAGAAGCTTTGATTGCAGGAAGGGGTGGAGCCCAAAATGACTAGCAGTGACTAGCAGTTTTTCAAGAATACATATATATGTATATCTGTACATAGAAGAATGTATCTCAGAACTATTTCCGCTACAGATACTTGAAAATGTGCCAAAAGCATGGTTGTCAGGATTCAGAATCCTCCATAAAAGGAGGGGTTCTTTTAAAAAAAAAACAACCTACTCATGAATCAAGCATCGCCGCATGATCTGAAAAATCAGTGCCTTGACTACTGATGGGTGTGAGGTTTCTTTGTGGGGTGACAAAACTTTTGGAATTAGATAGTGGTGTTGGTTACACAATTTTGTGAGTGTACTAAAAAAACGTTGAGGGGAGGAGTCCATTCCTGCCCCAGTTGCTGAAGGAATGAAGATTCGTCTAATTTTAAGAAGAATAAAAAGCACCCACTCTTTGGAAGGAGTGGGTGACAGTTCTTAAAATAGCTCATCAGTGGTTTAAATGGATTCTCCACACTGGTGTTCCGGAGGAAGCTGTGATCAGAAACACCTGTGGGAATTTCCTCTCCCTCCGCAATTAGGATAGTGGAGCTGAGAAAAGTTTCCTGATTCTGTGTTTTTTCAGCAACTCTGGCCTCATTCTGTTACTCCACTAATTTTTTACAGCCCTCTCCCATTTGGAGATTCTTTATTTGTCTTGTTCTGAAGAAGCCAGGGTGACTTTATACTTCTCCCACCAGTGGGGCCCTATTTTACCAGTTCTCAATATTCCTAAGTGTGAGGCCTCAAAGCCCCCACAGGACTCAAGAGTGTAGATTTGGCAAGGGAAGAACCTTGGGCTGGGGCTCAAGAAGCTGTTCCCTGCCAGCTCTGGGACACTGAAAAAGACTGTTTCACCTCTCCTGCCTCTCTCAGTTTTACCAACTGTAAACTGGGTGAGATCCAAGAGGATTAAATGGGGGAGAAATCATGGCAGCAAGAGCTGCCCTTTGTGGGACTTCCCGCATGCCAGCTACAATGCCACACCCTTGCATTACAGTCCCCATAAAGGTATGAAGGACACGGGCCCTGGGATAGGCTCAAAGCAAGCAGGGAGGCTGCCTGCTCAGCGCCACATGGCTGAACACTGGCGGGGCAAGGATTCTGACCACTGCGTTTTGATCCTCGAATTCTTGCTCTTATGCATGCCAACGTATTTATTACCTTCCTTGTAGGTGAAAAGCCAGTGAAGCCATTCCGCCATCTCTCCCGTGCCTGTAACCAGATTTTCTTTGCTTTCTTATATCATTTTGTCCCAACATCTCTCAGCCAGCCTTGATTAAGGATGGAGTTCCAGTCGGGCTGCCCCCACTCAGCACCCCCCGCTGCCCCAACTGTACGGCCAGCATATAACTGAGGCATCCAGAGTCTTGCATTTGTCTTAACATTCAGGTGGCTAGGAGCAGACCTTGTATGACAGAGTGAGCCGGTTGCTTGGTGGCCTTGCTCTCTAGAAGTCCCATGGAGAGGCCAGCATCATCCTCTTAGAAGATACAGCTTACTTCTCTCTCTGTCCTGTATGGACTTGAGTACTGTACTCCCTCGTGTTCAACTCTTTGCAACCCTATGGACTGTAGCCTGCCAGGCGCCTCTGTCCGTGGGGATTCTCAAGAATACTGGAGCGGGTTGCCATTTCCTCCTCGAGGGGATTTTCCTGACCCAGGATTGAACCCACATCTCTTGCGTCTCTTGCTTTAGCAGATGGATTCTTTGCCACTAGTGCCACACCAGGGAAGCCCATAAAGACTTGACAGCCTGTCCTATTGTGGGGAGAGTGCACTGACATTTGGGGGAAATTCACATTGTCCAGAAGAGACAGTCTGAATTCCTTACCGCCTGGGTTCCTGGGTGGGCTTCAGCGGGGGAAGCATGTTAGCTGAAGAAAAGGACACGGTGTGAGTGGAAGGCTGGCTGACCTACTTCCTTCTTAACCTGGTTCCACCTCTGACCTCCCTAGGCCGAAGGGGATGTGGCAGCTCTCAATCGACGCATCCAGCTCGTTGAGGAGGAGTTGGACAGGGCTCAGGAACGACTGGCCACAGCCCTGCAGAAACTGGAGGAGGCGGAAAAGGCTGCAGATGAGAGTGAGAGGTAAGGACGCTTTGAACCCGGTGGCATGAGCATTTACTTCTGGGAAATTGGGGTCGTGCCATACTGCCAACCTCCTGGAGCTGGGGTGAGAGTCAGTGAGATCTCAGGAACACACATGTGTACACATACATACAAATGGGCAACAACACCTTGTAAACCGTCCTGCTATGTGTGGAGTCATTTGATGTGGTTATGAAGGAAAGCTACCACCAGAAAGAGGAAGGCAAAAAATGGGCAGATGTGAGACTGTAGCTGTGACTGTCGTTGGCAGGCAGTTCGCAGAGCTGTGTCTCCTGTTCTCTCTGAAAGTCACTGTGCGTCTGGTTATCAGCATTCTCAAGACCTCAGTTTCCAGGGTGATATGAGAAGGCGGGGGATGAAAACTTGGAATGGGCTGTCTGCATAAATGATTATTAGCAGTGCTTCAGGCTCTGGGTCACTGGACAACTATGTGTTGGGGACATGCACAAACCACTCCGATCAATGTATTTGCAACTGATGGCACTTCTTATCTCCAGGCCATTCTCCTGTTGCCTCCAGCAGGGTGCTGTGTCCTCTCGAGCGGCACGCCTTGGTGCAGGCTCTGGAGGACTATGAGCAGATTGTGTAATTCACAGAAGCGGCCATCTCTGTCTGGTGGTCAGTGGGTTCCTTGTGTGGTGGTGGTGTGGCCTGGGCTGGTGGTCCTCACGTATCTGCCACAGCATCACACCAGAATTCGCACTGGACTCATCCACCATAGTTTGCAAGTTTCCCAGGTGGTGCTGGAACCCGCCTCCCAATGCAACAGATGCAGATTCGATCCCTGGTTCGAGGAAGATCCCCTGGAGAAGAACATGGCAACTCCAGGATTCTTGCCTGGAGAATCCCATGGACAGAGGAGCCTGGCGGGCTACTGTCCATAGGGTTGCAAAGAGTCAGCCATGACTAAAGCAGCTGGGCACATGGGCACCATAGTTCTCTGGTAGAAACTTCTCCCAAGGATCCATTCCTGGTGGGGGGGGCTAAACCAACTGGAGAATCTTGGCGACTGACTTTTTGAGTTGCCTAAGGGGGAGTTTGCCGTACAATGGAATAGCCCTTATGGAGGGCACAGATCGTGGTGCGGGCTCTGCTTTAGCCACTTCGTAGAGTGAGAAGGCAGTAGCTCAGGGCAGCCACGTGGAAGTATGAAGGATCCAGTCACAGGTTGCTCACGGCTGTGCCGGGGCCTCAGCTAGGTGCTTCCCTTGTTCACTGTCAGACCGGCCTGGCCAGGCATCTCACTCATTTCTTGCACCTCTCCAAGTCAAAAGGCCCTTCACTTGTTGGTATCATGTTACCAGCAGCCGTTGATGACGCCCTTGTTAGAGACTGCTGTTTAGGTGGAAGGAATTCTATACTTGGGAGCTGAAGAATCTAGATCTGAGTCCTTCCACTGCATTTACTATGGGGCCTTGAGCTAGTCCCTTTGATCACTCCTTGACTGCAGGGGATTTTCCAAGCTTGCTGATCTCAGGGCCTGGTTACAGGCATGCATGCTCAGTTGTGTCCAACTCTTTGTGACCCCATGGACTGTGTAACCCGCCAGGCTCCTCTGTCCATAGAATTTTTCAGATAAGAATACTGGAGTGGGTTGCCATTTCCTACACTAGGGGATCTTCCCAACCCAGGGATCGAACCCAAGTCTCTTGCGTCTCCTGCATTGGCAGGCAGATTCTCTACCACTGTGCCACCTGGAAAGCCCAGTACGGGCCTGGAGAGTGTTTTGATAGTTAGCTGAGAATGGCAGGGACAGTCCAAATGGAAGTGTTTATTTATTAGAAGTATAATAATGGTCCTCCGTGGGCAGGCCTGACACACACTGATACATTATACTGGGTTGGCCTCTTCTTTGTAGATATCTGAGTTTAGCATGTCCACTCCACACAGTGCAGGCCACAGTGAGCTCCATTTTGTGGTCAGAAGTTGTAGGGCACTTCCAGCTGTTCCCAGGACACCGTCCTTCCCCTAGTTGACGTATCCACTTCAGTTCAGGCCTTCCTTACCCATCACTTTGTGGATATCTGCCTCTTACCTGGTGTTCCCACTGAAGTCCCCGCCATCATTCTGGTTTCCATTCACACTTGTTTCTGAAACCTTCCTGTGGTTCCCTGTTCCTTCGGAGCAAAATCCTTAGCCTGTCATTCAGGCGGCCTGTGGTGCAACCACCCTGACTTCCCTGCCATATTCTTTCATTCCTCTGGGGCTTTCTGTTTTTCTGAACTTTTTATTTTGTATTGGGTTATAGCCAATTAACAATGTTGTGATAGTTTCAGGTGGACAGCGAAGGGACTCAGCCCTATATATACATGAATCCATTCTCCCCTAAACCCCTGTCCCTTCCAGGCTCCCACATAATATTGAGCAGGGTTCCCTGTGCTATACAAACGGTCCTTGTTAGTTAATTCATTTAAAATCTAGCAGTGTGTGTGTGTCCATCCCAGACTCCCAAACTCTCCCTTCCTCCCAGCAACATAAGTTTGTTTTAGAAGTCTGTGAGTCTCTTTCTGCTTTATAAATTCATTTGTATCACTTCTTTTTAGATTCCACTTATAAGGGGTGTCACATAATATTTCTCCTTTTCTGTCTGACTCGGGCTTTCCTTGTGATCCGGCTGGTAAAGAATCCACCTGCAATGTGGGAGAACTGGGTTCGATTCCTGGGTTGGGAAGATCCCTTGGAGAAAGGAAAGGCTACCCACTCCAGTATTCTGGCCCAGAGAATTCCATGGACTGTATAGTCCATGGGGTCACAAAGAGTCAGACATGGCTGAGCGACTTTCACTTCTGTCTGACTTACTTCGCTGAATATGCCAACCACTGTGTCCATCCATCTTGCTGCAAACGGCATTATTTCATTCTTTTTAAAGGCTGAGTAGTATTCCATTGTATGTATGTACCACATGTCCTTTATCCATTCTCTGGGGCTTTCTTGTATATCGCTCTCTCTCACTGAAGAATACCTTTCCTCTCCTTGTTCACTTGTGGACTCTCTTCTGGGAAGCCCCTTGTGACATACAAACACACCCTCCCTACCCCACTCCCCACCCCAATGCAGCAGAATCCATCATTCCCACAGCCAGGCCAGCACAGACCTTCGATCAGATCCTGGTAACTGTTGGCGTACAAGTCCCCCTCGTCACTAGTTAGTGAGAGACTATGGGATAGGAGTGTGGAATCGGGAACCACATCACCGGGGTTTGAATCCCAGCCCTGCTTCTTACTGGCTGTGTAACCTCAAGCAAGTTACTTAGCTCCTCTATGCCTCAGTTTCTTCCTCTGTGAAATGGGGATACTGTACCTATTTCTAGGGACAGGAATTGTGAAGTTTAAAAATGGTGCCTGGTGTTCAGCAAAGATGCACGTGAGTGTGAGCAGCTCTAGTTGCCTCTTTGGAGTGTGGTTCTTGGTAGGTGTCAGTGAAGTGTTTAGATGAGTAGATGCCTGAAGGTGTGCAACGAGGTGGTCATGTGTGTGTGGAGGCAATGACAGGTTCTGCTCCTTGCAGAGGGATGAAGGTGATAGAGAACCGCGCCATGAAAGATGAGGAGAAGATGGAGATTCAGGAGATGCAGCTTAAAGAAGCCAAGCACATCGCTGAGGAGGCTGACCGCAAATACGAGGAGGTGAGTGGTGGGGAGTGGGGCTGGCAGATGGCAGTAGCAAGAAGCGGGGAGGAAATGGACCTGTGATAGGGAAAAGCCTGGGGCCGCCTAAAGGAAGCTCTTGGTCAGCTCAGCTGTCCTTCTGCATCCACATCTGTTTTTTTCCAAAGATAGCCACTTGTCTAGGAGACCATATCTTCCACGATGCCAGAAGTCCTGGGAAATTCTGCGACAGTCAGACAAGTGGGGACTTAGACTTAAAGGGGAAACCAAGTGATCAGATCCCTTTTTTTTTGTCCTCCAGCTGGGCGTTAGGCTAAAATGGGGAATTGTGGTCCCCGGCTGTGGGTCTTTAGACTACGAAAGCTCAGTTGCTCCTTCTGCCTGCCTCCATGGCCCTGTCTCTTCCTTCCCCTTCCTGGGGCCCACAGGAGAGAATTTAGGTTTGTAAATTAGAGTTGGAGCAGCAGGAGAAAGCCCCAAGTTTGCTGGACATGGCCTTGCTGTTTGCTCCGGGTGGGCATGGGGTATCCTATTAGACGTGGCTCTTGGGGGTCAGTCTTAATTGGTCCTTCCTGTTTCTGCAGGTAGCTCGTAAGTTGGTCATCCTGGAGGGTGAGCTAGAGCGGGCAGAGGAACGTGCCGAGGTGTCCGAATTGTGAGTGGCAGAGTGGGGTTGGGTGGTGCCCAGCTCAGCTCTAGACATGGTGAATGGGGGTTGGTCGGGGAGCTGGGAGGGAGTAAGTTATGTTGGGAATGGATACTGACCAGGGCCTCTGGTCAAGTGGATGGGTGTCTGGGACTCATCCTTCAGTCCCTCCTCTTTGCTTCCCTGGCTGACAAAGAGTGACAGGCGACTGTTTGTTCTCACCGCCCTGGGAAGTACCGCCCACGTGTTCACTCTTGCCACAAAGGTATTGGGAAATACAAGTGTCGGGCAGTAGCGGAGAAGCCCAGAAGTCCCATTTTCCCAGAGAGGAATCCTCGGGAGGCTGTGCCTTCTTAAGGGAACACTGAGGGCAGGCTGCCATGTCTGTGTCTAAATGCCTTGTTCTTGATGTCATTGTTTGGCTAGGACACATTCTTGGTGGCAAGGAAAGGTGAGAAGCTTGACCAGAGTCCCCACAGGCTCCCTTCCCCCCACCTCCCACCACAAAACCCCAAAAGCCTCTCCCCTCAGACTCGGGTGAGGACTTGAGCTCCCCAGAGCATTCCTTGCAGTGCTAAGAGATCTGGTTTCCGAAACCCATCCCAGGCCTGCTTCCTGGCGTGTCCAGTGTAAACTCGGATTGCCGCCTCCCAGCCTCCTGCACTGCGTCTCATTCTTAAACACCTTCCGGAGTCAGCCTCATCAGTCGTGGATTTCACAAGCCCCTGTTGCCTCAGACTTGGCGGGAGCCCAGAAGAGCTTTACAAACCTCCCAAACACTCCTCGGCCTGCCGCGCCTTTGCCTGGCACGATGGGGTTTTGACAAGTACACAGCACCGAGTCTCAGAGAAAGCCATTAACATTTTTCCCCACATTCCTTCTGGGGGCCCCTGGCAGTGCGGATTCCTCCTTTTGAAAACTTCTTTTAGGGAGACTGCGGTTTGTACAAAAAGACAAGACACCAAAAATCTTCTCTTGTCTTTGGGCAGAAAATGTGGTGACCTGGAAGAAGAACTCAAGAATGTCACTAACAATCTGAAGTCACTAGAGGCTGCATCTGAAAAGGTTGGTGGTTGGCTTGAGCTGGAGGGTGATTTGCTGGCCTTTTTTCCTCCCCCAAGGAACACAGGAGCGTGCCAGGTGTCGGGAATCTGACCTTTATTTGCCAACAGTAGCTTTGGTACCCAATAGCCACGTTTCTTTTTCTTCTATAGAAAAGGGTGTCCAATGGCTAGATTTCCCTCTTTCATAGGGTCTTAATGCCAGCTTTTATCTCAACCTCCTACGAAGGTGGGCTTATTTATCTATTTATGTATTTTGGCCATACAAGGCAGCATGTGGGGTCTTAGTTTCCCAACCAGGGATCAAACCTATACTCCCTGTAGTGGAAGTGAGGAGTCTTAACCTTCAGACCACCAGGAAAGTCCCTGGAGGTGAATTTAGAACCTGAGATGGGGGCCTGGTCAGGCTCATCTTAGGGAATTCTGAGCCTCCTCATGTACGTACAGAGCCTACAGAGCCGCACTCTCAACTGCATCCCTGGGTTCCTCTAGAAATACTTTCTAGAAGGTTGAGCAGCAATCACAGGTGGAATTGGGCTTTTTTGTTGTTGTTGCTGGAACAGTACCCAAAGCAGTCATTAGAGGAGATAGCATTAGTCATTACATTAGCAAGAACGTACAGACCCTTCCGTGACCTTCCCTCCTCCCCTCCCAGCCCCTGCTGTTGAGTTCCTCTTTCTCAGCTCTTCCTCACTCTCCCTGCTCCTCCTCCCCTCCCGTTGCACTGAACTCATTTCACAGACGTTCCATGCTGGTCCCTTCCACTGCTTTCTCTGAACCTTCTGTCCAATCAGCCTGGGGTGGCTGCCCCCTTTCCTCTCTGCTTGGCAACCCCCTGTCCACCCCTCCCGGATTGCTCATCCAGGTTACGTATTTCTCAACTGCATAGCCCCACCTACTTCTTTCCCTATTGTGAGGGTTGATCACATTTATTATAATTAATTGCGTGCCTTCCTTGCTAGATTGTAGAGACAGGAACTCTGTTGGTCTCCTTTAGAGCTGTGTCATTAGTCCCAGCGTGGTGCCTGGCCGGTATTTCATGCTGGGATAGTTGGTGAATAAATGTGGGTATGCGAGGGACTGGTTATTGGGAGAGATGCTGCAGTCATCTGCTCTTGAAGAGCTTGTAGTCTAGTTGAGTAGAAGGGTTGACATGGTAATTAGGGTGTGGTGGGGCTTCCACAGAGGGACTTTGGAAAGCTGGGAAAGGTGTCACAAGGAGGTGACCTTAGAAAAGACCATAGAGGCTTCCCTGGTGGCTCAGTGGTAAAGAATCTGCCTGCCCATGCGGGAGACAAGAGTTTGACCCCTGATCCGGGAAGATCGCACATGCAGCTGAGTTTATGCACCACAGCTGTTGAGCCTGCGCTCTCGAGTCAGCAGCTGCAACTACTGAAGCCTGAGCACCCCAGAGCCTGTGCTCTGCAACACGAGAACTCACCGCAGTGAGAAGCCTGTGCAGTGTACCTAGAGAGGAGCCCTCCTCGCCTGCTACAGCTAGAGAAAGCCCTCACGGCAAGGAAGACCCAGCACAGCCAAAAACAAATAAATAAAATTATTAAAGGGGGGACCAAAAAACTATAGAGCAGGATGCCAGCCAGGAGCTCATATTCCAGAATCAGTTTCCAGCTGAGGCTTGGTCAGGTAGTAGCCATGTAACCCTTGACAAATTAGCTAGCTTCCGTGACTCATTCCCTAATCTGTAAACTGGGATTGGTGCTAACAACACCGCTGGCTGCTGATAAAGGTTAGCTAATACTCAGCTGAGTTGAGCCTTGAAAGACAAACCTACCTTCTGACAGACAGCAGTGAGGAATGGGACATTCCATGCCTGGGGGCCCAGATGTAGTCAAGGGCTGGGAGACCAGAGAGTACTCAGAAAAGGCTTAGGAAGTGGCAGGAAGCTGGTGGGAAGTGGGGTTGGAAACAGACGAGGCCAGCTGCGGTGGAGGGCCTTGAGAGGCGTGTTTCCATTCATTCATCTGCCTCCATCTTCATCACACGTGTATCTCGAGTTGTCAGCTCAGGTCTTGAGATCAGTCCCATCCCAGAGGGATCCCCTCCCAGACTCTCAGAGTTTCCCACACATTTCATCTGCCTGGAAAGTTGTCTGTCTCTACTTTGCTTCTTAGGCAGGTTCGTAGCTTCAAGCACGCGCTTTTCTCCGAGAATCGGGGAACGTGCATTCTCTTGTGCTGTCCCCGCTTCTCCCTCCTTTTTAAAAAGTAGTGTTTTGATCTCTCCCGCAGTATTCTGAAAAGGAGGACAAATACGAAGAAGAAATTAAACTTCTGTCGGACAAACTGAAAGAGGTGAGTGTGATTCCCACCCAGCTGGTTCGGGATTCTCCTGGGGTTGGTCTTGAAGCAGTCCTGCTGACTCCTTTCTTCTGCCCTAGGCCGAGACCCGTGCCGAATTTGCAGAGAGAACAGTTGCAAAACTGGAAAAGACAATTGATGACCTGGAAGGTATGAAATCACCATCTAATTGTGTTTGCTCTGCCTCCCCGTTACACGACACGTACAGTCGGGGGAAATCTGGGAAGGCTGGTTTGGGCTTCATCCACGTCAGGGGAGCAGAGTGATGTCACATCTGGAAGTCTGGAGCCCTGGGACAGGACAGTGCAAAATCAGATTCAAACCAGGGTTGCCATTTTTCCAGAACTAAAATATTTCTGCCTAATTAACTCCATATGTAAGAACAGAGATCCAAATATGGCTGATTTTTTAGCTCTTTAGAGTTTCCTTCAATTTGCTCATTTCTGAGACGCCTCACATTTTTTAAATGCCTTGCATTTTTTATGGAAACTCTCTCCCAGAGAGCGCAAAGCTTATCACAATATGAGAAAATGGAAATTTAGAGACTGTAGAGACCTGAATAAAGACTCCAGTCTCTGAGTCTGGTGCCCACGTATCCCAGAATTTCTTGAAGTGTTTCATCTTTTTAAAAAATTCTGTCCTGTGCTCTTCACGGAGTAACCCGGAAATTCCAGAATCCTGGAATTTCAGTTCTCCCAAACTGCCTGTCCCGCCCAGAAAGGGTACAGAACTCGTTCTTCAGGCGGTGTGTCCCAGTGTTTGGTTTGGGAAGTGAGGTTTCCATATAAGGCAAAATGCCCCATTCCAAAGTATGACCTTCGGGCCGGATGACATCACTGAAAGTCAAATAACCTGGGATGGGAGATTGGTGGGGAGAAGCTCTCACCATTTCTAGTCACCACTCTTTCTAAAGTTTCACTATGGCTAATCCCCTGCAGAACTTCACTCCACTTAGAAATCACTCCGTAGATCTTATGTTTTCTCGTTTGTTTTACATGAGACACAACCTTGTCCCAGTTCGTGCTTTGTTTTCTCACTGTTTTTTCTTCCTCTCAGTGTGTGGCACTCCACTCCAACCCTCGCATTCTATATTCTGTACCTCTTCTGAACTCTCTCCTTGGGGACCTCTGCCCTCCAGATGAGCTATACGCTCAGACGCTCACATACAAAGCTATCAGCAAGGAGCTGGACCATGCTTTCAATGACACGACCTCTCTCTTGAGAGGCGGCTGGGGTGCCACCCTCTGTCCTAGCAATACTGAAGTCTGCCTTCTCACTGTGGTACCTCCACTCCTGTGGGCTTCTAGAAGCTCCAGTTTCCTGCCTTCTGGTTTGATCTTTCAAGCCTTCTGCTGCTGTGTCTGTGACTGAAATAAAGACAGGCCGTCCTCATCTTCATGCCCTCTCATTTTCATTTTCTCCACTTGTTGCCTTTGGGCTGTAGCCTTTGAGGTAAGGACCTTTGAGGCCCTTAACCGTGACTGCAACCAAAAGTGAGTGGTTCAAATGAAGAGCTGGTTTCAAAAAAGAAAATTATGCTCATATGATTCTTTTCTGACAACATAAAAACAAAAGCCAACTTGGCCTGACCTCTCAAATGTATTAGCTATATTAACTGTATCTGCATGCCACTAGCAGTTTTTCCTTACATAGAAATTGTTTTGAATGGAGACCCATCCAACCTCTTGAGCAGCTTAACAGAGTCAGCAGAACATGCAAAAACCAGCCGGCTTATCTCTAAAAAGAAGCCACCTTGGGATGGCACTTCATCTGTGGATTCAAACAGCAGCAATGGCATTTTGGTCTCCTTAGTCCTTTTCTCTCGTTTTCTCTGTGTTTTACTTGGAGAATGGTGTCTGGGGTTCCCTATGTCTTCATTGTTCACAAAGCACCTCTTCAGCTCCCAGTCCTGGGAGGCAGCTCACCAGAGAAGCTCACCTCTATTCCGTACCCTTAGAAAACAACTGCAAGGAATTAAGGGGCATCCCATAGCAGGGCAAGAGGATGGAAGCTGCTAGAATGCCGAACAAAGGAATTGAGATGATTCTTGAGTTCCAAAGCAACTTTCCTGAGCAACATGTATCTCCCCTCATAGTTAACTAGAACCAGGAACTTTGGTTTAGTGAGGGCTCATGAAGTTTGTGTATGGGTGTTTAAAACCTCTAGCGACCAAAAGCTCATCAGTTTCCCCAAGAGAATCCACAAATTTCAAATAATCTATCCGGTTCTCCCCTGCACCCCACCACTACCACCACCTCAAATTGTCCCAGAAACACTGACATTTTGAAGTCCAAGCCATCTTCTAGATTGCCCCCTTGAACATGAAAGTGGCATGAAAACTTCTGAGTAGATCATTTATTTTTGGTCACCATACTTATTCCTCATCCAGTAATTTTTTTATTCAGGTGGGAACCTTTGTCACAATTCTTTATTCATTTCTGCAAAATACAACTTTACTAAACTACCCACACCCTTCCACCCCCAACTTTCCTCTGTTCCTAACTGCCTTCCCCCCTGAACTTCTGCGTAAACCACTCCCATCACATTGCCATGCCTGTTACCCTGGAAAGATTAAATGCTGTAGGGGTGGGTGTTTTTTGTTTGCTCTCTCCATGTATTTGTTCCTGGAGTTTTCCCAGACATATGTAGCCTCTACCCTTTGAAATAACTGCAGCCCTGCCTATCCAGTCATTCTACCTGAGCACCTAGGTAGAACTTCAGAGATTAGGGCTATAGTGGATCTACTACTACCTGTTGACTGTGTGGTGGGCTGGGTGGAGGGCGGGGTTTGCTGTCACACTTGTCAAGGGCAATTAACACTTTTAGGGAAACTTACTTTCTCTCAGACCTAATAACAAAGTAGATGCGGGGGAATCCCAGTGGCAAGGTGAAGTGAGGTCGGGATTTGGAGTTGGAATACCTTGCTTTGCACCCCAGCTCTGCCATTTGAGCTGTCTAGCCCTTTTCAGCAGAAATAAAAGTGGTAACTGAGTTCCTGAGGATTAAATGAGATAACTGAGAAGAAATGGGTTCGCCTGTAGTAGGCAGTCAGTTACTGTGTTAATCCAGACTCCACAGGCCCAGGTCACTATTCTCTGACAGAATCCTCCCAGATCATAAGTCATTAGTTTTTTCTTAAAGTATCACATCAAATGGAAGCTTCAGTAGTTGTAGTTGCAAGATGGCCATCTTCGGCAGTCGTTTTCTTTCTGAATATTTGCAAGCTGATCATATCACATTTTATGAGGTATTTTGCTTTCCTCTGGTATTTTAATGAGTCCTGGCCTAGTCCCTAATAAGCCATTACTTGTCGCAAACCAGTTTTCTCTCCTGCTCTGTCATGCATCGCTCTAAGTGGCATCTTAGAGTTTTGTTGATTTGTTTGGTTGGGGAGGAGGGGGTCGTTTGTTTTTTTCATTTCTTTCATCAGCTCAACCATTTAATAACGTACCTGTAGTCTGGCTTAAATTTCAGTCATTTTGCATTTACCTGGAGTTTGACTGCTGTGGACACATAGGTGGACGTGTAGAAACAGTAACACAATTATGCCTGGAATTTAAACAGCTATTCTCAGAAGCTCCAAAGGAAAGATGGGTTATAAGATTATATTTCCCTTCCATAAGCTCAGGGGCTAACCAGCACTAGAGACAAAATGTATTAACTCATCCATATCTCAGACCAAAAGCTTGTGTTTATGTAGCATTTTATAAGTTCTGAAGCATTTCTTATTTGTTTCTCATAATAACCCTCTGCCACACAATGGTATTACTCCCATTTGACAGATGGGGAAACTGAGACCTAGAAAGTTTAAATGACTTAGGTTAAGTGGCATTTACCTCACGGGGCTTAAGTCAGGTGTTCTGACTCTAGGATTGCCAGATTTAGCATATTAAAATACAGGACACCCAGTTAAATTTTAATTTCAGCTTTGCAATGAATAAATTTTGAGCATAAGTGTATTTCAAGCAACATTTGCAATGTGCTTCCATTAAAAATTTTATTTATATGAAATTCAAATTTAACTGAGCAGCCTGTATTTCATTTTTCAACCCTAACTACCAGATTTGGTTTTTAGTGTCTAGAAGTCCATGGTGTTCTGCTATAATTAAAATGCAGAGTACTTTCTCTGCTCTTTCACTCTGGCAGTGTGGAGCTTAGAAACGTTTTTCCCCCCTTTTAATAAAGACGCTTATTAATTTGTTTTTCCCTCATTCTTAATTTTCACCAGAAAAACTTGCCCAGGCCAAAGAAGAGAACGTGGGCTTACATCAGACACTGGATCAGACACTAAACGAACTAAACTGTATATAACCAAAACAGAAGAGTCTTGTTCCAACAGAAACTCCAGAGCGCCGTGTCTTTCTCTTCTCTTGTAAGAAGTTTCTTTTGTTATTGCCTCTTCGCTTTGCTGGAAATGTCAAGCAAATTATGAATACATGACCAAATATTTTGTATCAGAGAAGCTTTGAGCACCAGTTAATCTGTTCCTTCCTTTTTTCCAAAATGACACCAGTTTTTTCAGCTCTATTTTTAATCTTTAAATTGCATATATTCCTAAGGTAGGCAGGGTATTTCATATTGAGCATACATACTCCCTTTTAAGACTGAGGGCATTTGGTTCCTGGGAGAATAGACAACCCCATACTTTCAAAACACAAGATTCTGATGTCTAGTCATGGGTCAGTTTAAAACGCTGGAGAATGTCCACCATTGGTCACGTGGTAGGAGGCCAGGGATCGTCACATTAAAATGGGTGGGGATTTTTCCATCCAGACCAAAGTGGGGGTGGGGTTACTGTGGGAAGTCATAAACCACAGAGAGGTTAACCTGATCATCCCAGCTCTTTTCCGCACTCCACCGTGCAGAACAAAACAAACATCCTGTTGAGCAGTCAGCATGAGAGTGCTCAGAAAAGAGTCATAATAATTACCCAAATGTTTTTTGGATAGATCCTTGATATGCTCTTCTATATGTTTCTTTCGCTCTAAGTTCTCTGAGGAGCTGATGTCTTATTCCAATAATGACCCATGCTTATCTGCTCTGATATGAGGCCATCCACTCAGGAGGAATGAATGTTGGAGAATTCAGTCCTATTCAGAGAAGCAGTCTTTTTCAAAACTACCAGTAATTGAGCAAGACTGTTTTTCTGTGAACAAATATTAGGCAGAATGGCCCTCTCAGACAGCAAAGTAAAAACTAAAATATTGGCATAACTTCATCTCTATACTCAAGAGAATGGCAAATTGGAGATTTACTTATCTAGAATTTTAATTCCTTCTTCAGGACCAAGTTAATAAAAGACCAAGAAACTCCTGATTAAACTGGATATGGAGTATTTTGTACACAGGGCATTTTGTTATGTTTCTGCTTTCTCAGTTAACATCTCAGAGCTGAAACATTCCACATTCCCCAGCAGTGTGGGGGCCAACTCAAGTTTACAATTCTGACTAAAAGAATCACCCTGCTTCTAGCTTATCTGAATCCTCTGCCCCTCACTCCTATTTATTAAGCGCCACACTATCCAGGAGATACACTAGCAAATTGTGCAATTGAATAAAACCCACACTTTCCATTTAGATTCTTGCAACTGTATCATATGTAATAGTATCACTTTTTCTACATTTTGGTCAAATAAATTTTTACATAAACTCCAATTTGTGTGAATTTTAGAATGTGTGGGGACATAACACAGCATTTTGGCTCAACAAATGTGAATGGAAAATGCCAACAATTCAACAAATATTTATTTGCTAGGAACATCCAGTTAGTATTCATTGTCAGAGGACTAGAGTGAGGGTAGACTAGAGGCAGGAAGATCAGCTAGGAGAATATTTCAATTAAGCCAGGATATAGTGCTTGCCATAATGGAATAAGAAGGAAGAAGTGCTCTTAAGACTTAGCTTATTGGGTGGCAGGAACTTAAAGAAAAACCTAAAGGAGAAGACTCTTGAGAGTCCCTTGGACTGCAAGGAGATCCCACCAGTCCTTCCTAAAGGAGATCAGTCCTGGGTGTTCATTGGAAGGACTGATGTTGAAGCTGAAACTCCAATACTTTGGCCACCTGATGTGAAGAGCTGACTCATTTGAAAAGACCCTGATGCTGGGAAAGATTGAGGGCAGGAGGAGAACGGGACAACAGAGGATGAGATGGTTGGATGGCATCACTGACTCAATGGACATGGGTTTGGGTGGACTCCGGGAGTTGGTCATGGACAGGGAGGCCTGGCGTGCTGCGATTCATGGGGTCGCAGAGTCGGACACGACTGAACTGAAAGAAGAAAAGGTCAAAGATGACTGCAGTTTCACTACCTTAATTGCTTTGATATTTGCTCTAAGATCTGATCTTGAGGAAGGAGAATAGGGAATCAAAAGGAGAAATGAAAGCCTTTAATAAAGACATTAACGCAAGAAATTTTTTTGTCGCCTAGTACAATTAAAAACATTTCCTTTATTTTAATTCAACAGTTATGCTGACACTGTGAGCTTGTTAAGCTGGTAGATCAAATGAAGTATAATGCAGTCCTCTACCTACCCTACCATTGCTGGATTGAAGTTCCTCATCTCCCCCCTACCCCCCTTGACCTGTAATCTAAGTATACTGTTTTAGTCATCCTGGTGCCTCAGCACTTAATACAAGTAATGTTTGTTAAACTGACCTGTCTCAGCTCTTGGGGAATACCCAATCCCATAAAGTGTGAGTGGGACAGAAGGTGAGCTTAGCAGATTGTGAGGACTTTATCCTGCCAATAGACCACAGATGGAAATGGGATAAATGTTTTAGACTAAGCACACTGAAGGGCAGAATCTGGATTAGAGAATGATCAGGGAGACTAGTGGAGAGATGTGATGATCTGACAGGCAACAGAGATAGAAGGACAAGATTTAAGAGCCATTTAGAACCTCTAAAAATGAAAAAGTATCAAAGGCAACTTCGGTCTCACTCAGAATCGATAACTCAAGCTAGTGTGAGTAGAAGATAACAAGTTTAGTTGTGGATATGATGAGTTTGAGGTATCTTTAACAGATACAAAGGAGGCAGATACCCAGAAAGTAGTTGGGACATAGAGGGGTGGCTCAGCTATGGGCTAGAAATCACCCAGCGTGGAGATAATAGGAGCCAAGGAAGTGAATAAGATCACCCTGGAAGCAAGAACAGAGAGAACCATGAGGAACAGCAGTTCTGAGAGACAAGCAAAAACCCCTCAAAAGACTGCAATGGAATCTGAGAAGGAGCACCCAGAGAAGAGGTGGTGTGGGTAAAAAAGAAACGGGAAAATAAAATGGGAGCAGTACCAAGAAAAGAAGGACCACCAGAGAATGTGGTCAGTAGTAGCAAACAACACAGGCGGAAACCTGCAAAGGGGCCAATGACTGGCTGAAGCTCTTCCTAACCATAGCAAGATTAGCAGAAAAATGTGCTGCAGTTGGAGGAAGGAGAGGTGGGGGCCATCTTTTATAAGATCCTTGGGCAAGTCTCCAAGCAGGATACCCCCAGAGCGACACCTAGCGGTGGCCATGCAAGTGGTTATGGCTCATCTCTATGATGCAGGAAAACAACGTGATCAAGACCTCAGCCTCCAGACTTCCCTGGCGATCCAGTAGTTAAGAATCTACACTCCCACTGCAGAGGCATACCCGGTCAGGTAGCTAAGGTCCACACATGCAACATGTACGTGTGTGTGTGTTAGTTGCTAAAGTCATGTCCGACTCTGTGCAAGCCCATGGACTCTGTGCAAGCCCTCCAGGCTCCTCTGTCAACGGGGATTCTCCAGGCAAGAATACTGGAGTGGGTTGGCATTTCCTTCTCCAGGGGATCTTCACCACCCAGGGATCGAACTCAGGTCTCCCGCATTGCAGGCAGATTCTTTACCGTTTGAGCAACATGGTGCAAACAAACAAAAAGACCTCAACCTCTGAAGCTGGTCCCTTTGAGTTCAAAATCCAGCCTACCTGGTTAAGAGCCTGGGAAAGTCACTTAACCTATCTGGCCTCGGTTTCCTCATCATAAAACGGGGGGGAGGACAATAATACCTACCTCAGTGGGTTGGGGTGGGGATAAAACACTATGTTTTTATAAATGCGGACAACATTGGCAGGCACAGAACTAACACCCATTAAGTATTCCCTATAATTCACACTCTGCTAACTCCTTCAGAGGGTTCCGAAACCCCCAGGTGCGCCTCCAAGGGCTGACTGGTTTGCCGCGGGCGAGGCTCCAGGTCTTGCCCTGGACAACTCAAACAGGTTGGAATTCTGTGGGCCTCGGGGCGCAGCTTGGTGAATGAGGTCTGGGTATCTATAGGTAGGTCCCCTGACCAGCGCCGAGGTCCCTCAACAGGTCTCGAGGGGACCTCTCTTCGAGTATCACGGCGCCCTTGCTCTCCTTTGCTCTTTGGCTCCCCTGGAACGACGCGGACGCCTCCACACAGCTCCACCACATTCACGCTGCCTCCCAGCACTTGTCCGGGCGCCAACTGAGGCTGCGCGGGTCTTGGAGCGCGGGAGCCAGAGACCCCACGCGCGTGCGCCCTCTGCTGGCGCCAACGGTCTTCCCGGCGCGCGTGCGCACAAGCTCCAGACCAGCCCCTGGTTTGAGGGCGCGCGGAGCCGTTTACCAAGCTCCCGGCTTATCCCCATCCCTTCGAGGGGCGGGGCCGCCCCAGAGTCGAGGGAAGAAGGCGGGGACAGGGGATGCCACGCCTTCTCCCTGTCCCTATTTGAAGCCGCTTGACTTCTCACCGCTGGCCAATCGCAGCTCGCCTTGTCCTGAGCGCCGGCCAATGAGCGGCGCGTTTGGGTCGCTTCCGGCTCTGCGCCCAGTTCTCCCCTTCCCCACGTCTTCCCGAGGCGGGCGGGGTGCGGAGGCTGGCATCGGCCGCAGTGACGCGCGTCGGGCCAGGAGCCAATCGGGGGCGGGATCGGCGCTGATGGACGGGGCTAGCGGCCAGTGGCGAGGCGCTAGCAGCACTTCCCGTCGGGGAGAGAGTGTAATATGGCGAAGACCTACGATTACCTGTTCAAGCTGCTGCTGATCGGGGACTCGGGGGTGGGGAAGACCTGTGTCCTGTTCCGCTTCTCCGAGGACGCCTTCAACTCCACTTTCATCTCCACCATAGGTAGCGGGGCTGGGGAGCGGCTGGGGGCTCGAGAGGCCCGGACCGGGCGCGCCCCTGAGGAGCTGGGGTTGAGGGAGCGGCCGGGCGGGATGGACCAGGGACCTCAGAGGATCTAAGGGAGGTAGAGGGGAAAAGAGCAGTCGCCTGCATCGTCGTTTGGGGGTTCCCCGGCCATGGGAGGGAGTGGGGACCAGATGCCCATTTTGCAGATGGGAAGACTGAGGCCCCAACCCTCAGCCTGCTCAGGGAATATATGTCCTGGTTGAGGTCTTGGCCCCCGTCATCTTGTTCTGTCTTCACATCAGCCCTTGAAGCAGTTTTTGGTCTCCTCGTCTTACTAACTGGAAACAGGCACGGAGAATTTGTCTATAGGGAAAGGACAACGACAAGTGACATCTGATCTTATTACGCATTTACTGTGTGCTAGGCGCTTTATGGTGCATTATCACACTTCCCAATGCTCTGTATTAGGTGCTGTTACTAGTTCGTTTCACAGATGAGGAACTTGAGACTCACAGAGGACACTAGACTTGCCTATGGTCACACCGTCTACAGGTGGCAAGGATAGTATTTGTTCCCAGATATGTATGAAAATCCCATGGACAGAGGAGCGTGGTAGGCTACAGTCCATGGGGTCGCAAAGAGTCGGACAGGACTGAGCAGCTTCACTTTCACTTTATGTCTGAACCCAGAACTCAAGGCTCAACCATCCCAGAGAGATGTGAGCACTCACCCCCAGGACAAGCACAGCTGATCCATCTCAAAGCCAGGACTCCAACCCAGACATCTCCTCTTCTTTCCTCTGGAATACTTGGGGGTTGCACCCCTCTCCCTGACCTGTTTCCCCCGTGGATGAATTTCTTCTAGAAGGAATGGTGAGAGGGAGTCCAGAGACTTTCCCTGCCCGTGCTCAGCCTTCCGTCCCACTTGAGGGTGACAGAAATGACGATTGATAGCTGTCTGCTCTGGGACTTGTCATCTGGAGGCGGATGCCAGATAAAAGCTTCAGTGAGAAACCAAAATCAGCCGCTGCCACTGACAGCCCTGACTTCCCTATCGCTCGACCCAGGACACTGGTTGTCACTTTGCAGAACAGCCCTTGCCTGCAGGGCCAACCCACATTGTGGTAGAACAGACTTGGCTTGTTGCTTCTCAGTTCTGACATCCATGAAAGTGGAGCTGACTTCTCCCTAGCCCACAAAAATGACCATTGTCCACATGAAAGGGTTTGACCTGAAAGTAACATCCATCAAGCCGATGGCCTGCAAACTATGCAGCCTTGCTGTGGCATGGGGAACTGGGAGAAAGATCACTAAGCTCAGGAGTTGGGGGGAAAAAATGTAGGAAATGGACTTTGCTTTACCCGTGTGTGCCTTATCTCCCTAATCCACATAGTGAGCTGCCGATTCCATCTTTGCCTTCTTCCAGAGCTGCACTGTGCAAGACACTTAGCTGCCAAATGGGAAGAGAATTGGACTGGCAGTCATTATTCTGATGTCCAGGTGCTGTTTGCCCTTGAACAAGCACTTCATCTCCGAGCCTTGTTTATTCAGTTTAGGAGTGGTGTTCTCTGTTTTTTGCCAGCGCCTGGATGGTGGAGGATCAGAACTGTACAGTGAATAGGGGGCTTTCACTGCTGTCAGTGGCCATCTAGAGGAAGCACAATGTCTCCTATCATGACAGCATCCTTCCCCGGACACGGATCCTTCTGGTTCCTTCCCCCTCCCTAACACCAAGGTCAAACTTTGGGGTTTTCCCTTTGCATCCCCACCAATCAGGAAGTGATCTTCACTCCTGGTAGACTGTGGCTCGCTCTCAGTCCTGACCTCGGTTTCCCAGAGTCAGAACCTTCCTAGTGAGAATTTGGGGGTTGAGTTTTTTGTTTGGTTCTTAATTCTTGACGGGAAAACCCAGTCTAGTCTCTGAGGAGGCCAGCCTCCACTTACAGGTGAGGATGTAACTTGGGCAAGGTCATCTAAGGCGGTGACGTGGCACTTAAACCCAGGATCCCGCCCCCCCACCCTGGGATCCTCATTACATGTGCAGCCTTCCTGCTGGCCTCTGTTTTCTAGGAAAATTTAATTCCCCATGACCTTGAAGTTATGGCCTCATAACTTTAGGCCTTGTAAAGTTTACACTTCCTAATTAAACTTGGTGTGTTAGTAAAACCCAAGAGGCAGATAGAACAGAGTGGCACTTGGAGTTCTGTCGATTGGACAGTGCTTCTTGATTTCATACATTCCCATGTATGTGGGCTTTACTGGTGGCTCAGAAAGTAAAGAATCTGCCTTCAATGCAGGAGACCTGGGTTCAATCCCTGGATGGGGAAGATCCTCTGGAGAAGGGAATGGCAACCCACTCCATTATTATTGCCTGGAGAATCCCGTGAACACAGGAGCCTGGAAGGCTGCAGTCCATAGGGTCACAAAGAATTGGAATCTACTGAGCAGCTAACACACACATACACGCATGTTTAACAGGAGCAGGGGATGTTTTAGGAAGACTTTAAGAATGCTTTAAGAAGCCACATGCATGTGGCTTAGTCCTGAAATACAGCCTAATGCATAGAGGCGATTGGCACTGAGTGTACCTCTGTATTTTCTTTATAGATTGGGGATTAAGTGGCTGTTCATTTTCTGCACAGGTTACATTTTGCCAAAGCCTGCTCTGATAAACTCCATCAATCATTTGTGGTGCGAACTTGGCCCCGTGGCTCCTGGAATTGGCTCTCCCCAGACTGGCTCAACCCCTGACTTCTCCTTAGGGCCCCATTCATTCATTCCTTCAGGGAGGTGGATGACGTATGTGAAAGTGCTTGCTAAACCACGCAGCACCACGTAGATCCCTTGCTCTTCATTTTTTTTTTTTTCACGCAGCTATCTTTTCCCCAGTGCCTGCTGCACACCGGAAATCTGGCTCAGTGTAGGAGCGAGGGGTGACTTGAATGGATCAGGAGGAAGCAGAACTGTTAACTAGGCCTGCAGTCAAAGTTTGTGTGCAGGACTGGGTGATCAGCTTCTAGCAAATACATACTCAACCCTGCTGCACTTGTCACTGGAGATGCAATCATAACTAAAAGAACACCTGCCCTCTTGGAGCTTACGTTCTAAAGGGCAGTGCTCAGGTGCAGGCTTACATTCCCTCTCGTCCACAGGACAGCTCCTGAGGCAGGCAAGGATGGAATTAGCATCACCTGTGGGGTTCTAGGCTTCCCAGGTGGCTCAGTGGTTAAAGAATGTACCTGCCAATGCAGGAGACGCAAGAGACCCAGGTTCAGTCCCTGGGTCAGGAAGATCCCCTGGAGAAGGAAATAGTAGCCCACTCCTGTATTGCCTGGAGAATCCCTAACAGGTATTTTAGCGGTCTGCAGTCCGTGGGGTCAAAGAGTCCGACCCGAGTGAACAACTGAGCACACACACATGAACCCTAGGTTCTAAGGAGTCAAGCCAGGCCTCAGTCTCAGAGTTTCACAGGTGGAGGTTAAAAAATTATGTATATATTGATTGATTTGGGTGCACCAGGGCTTAATTGAGGCATGAACTCTTAGTTGCAGTATGTGGGACCTAGTTCCCTGACCAGGGATCGAACCTGGGTCCCTTGCATTGGGAGTGCAGAGTCTCAGCCACGGGACACCAGGGAAATCCCCACAGGTAGAGATTTAGAACAAACTCCTAGGGGCAAGGATTGGACTTAGCTGTCACCCCTCCACGCAGGCCATTCAGATCGTCATGTTTTGCTCCTAGCTTCATGGAGTGAATAAACAATGTCAGGGATAATACGTGAAGAAGATGAAGCAGGCTGGAGGAGAGAGGATGGTTAGGAAGGCTCCCTGAGGAGGTGACTGGAACAGAGACCTGAGTGAAGGGAGAAGGGAGCCAGGTGGCCATGGAATGAAAGAACATTCCAGGAGGGGAAAGAGCAACCCTAAAAGCCTTGAGGCTGAAACGTGCTTTGGCAGTGTGGCCAGAGGAAGCTGAGAGCCATGGGAGCTGAGGGGACCGGGTTAGAGCCCTTGGCAACTGTTTTCACTTTATTCTGGGGCCGAGGAGTCAGTGGGAAGCCACTGAAAGGTGTTGGGAGAAATTTTTAAACAGTCTTGTTATGGGGAGCTCCCTGGTGGCCTGGTGGTTAGGATCCCAGGCTTTCACTGCTGTGGCTCATTTCAGTCCCTGGTCGGGAAACTGAGATCCTGCATGTCATATGGCGTGACCAAAAAAAAAAGTTTTATTGACATATAATTCAACTCACCCATTTAAAGTGTATAAGTCGGTGGCTTCAGACCCATTTACAGAATTGTACAGCCATCATCACAGTCAATTTGAGAACATTTTCATTATGACAGAGACACCCCCACACCCTCAGGTCAATCTTATTCCCCCACACCCCTGGGCAACCAATAATCTCCTTTCTGTCGCTGTGGATTTGCCATTTCTGGATGTTTCCTGTGACCAGGATTGTATACTGTGTGACTTTTCATGTCTGGCTTCTCCCTCAGCGTCATATTTCCAGAGTTCATCTGCATAGCGGCGTGTCAGTGTTCCGTTCCGTTTTAGGGCTGAGTAATAGTCCACTGTAGGGACGAACTGTGTTTTGTTTATCCACTCATGTGTTGGTGAACACACTGGAAGGTTTGGAGCCGAGGTTAGCTCAGTGACGTGGTTGAGTGTGTGTTTTGGAAGCCAGGGAGGGCATTGAGGGGACAGTGGTGGGAGAGCCTGGAGGGCAGTCAGGAAGGCTGAGAGGTCACCCTGGTGCTGGGGAAAGGGGCCTAGGGCCAGAGGGTGGGAGAGAAGGAGGGCAGGGTCAGGAAGGCTTCTTGGGAGGGGACCTTTCAGCAGCGTTTGCCAGGCTGATAGGCAGGCAGGGTGGGGACCACTCACAGAGAAGGACCTGCACACATGAGTGCTAGCAGCCCGTCTGCATCGGGTACATCTCGGCCTGGTGCCGCTGTGCTTGGAGGGCCAGGCACGGGTGGCAGGAAGTGGGGGGCTCTGGCACCCACTCCATGAGGCCGCCAACCAGGGAAGGGAGGAGAGCAACGCTTTGGCACTTGAGCTGGCTGGGATTGTCCGCCAGCCCTGCGCCTCGCCAGCTTCGTTCTGTGCAGCTCCATTCCGTCCTCTGAGCCTCAGCCTCCCCTCCTGTGAGAGGAGGAAGTTCAGCGGGTATCTCTAGATTGGCTTGAGGGGTTTAGAGATCCTGCATGCCCAACGCCGGCAGGTGCCCCCGAGACTGTGGCAGCTGTTACTGCACAGGTTGGCAGCCCCTGCTGTAGATGCAGCTTGGGAAAGACGCTGACAGTGATGTGCCTTTTTTTCTTTTCTTTCAGGAATTGACTTTAAAATTAGGACCATAGAGCTCGATGGCAAGAGAATTAAGCTACAGATATGGTAAGCATTGTGGCCTTCATCAGCCCCTCCGCCAGCAAGTGCTTTGAGCTAGAAGCTCCTGATGCCCCCCGCCCCCCGACCATGGCTCTCATCTCTTTGTGCCTACCACAAACACTTTGGGCATTCTTCAGAAGCCCCAGGTGAAGGGACTTCCCTGGTGGTCCAGTGGTTAAGGCTCTGCACTTCCACTGCAGGGGGGCATGGGTTCGACCCCTGGTCAGGGGAGTAAGATCCCACATACCCAGAAACGTGAGTGTTAGTCGCTCAGTCGTGTCTGACTCTTTGCGACCCCATGGACTACAGCCCATGAGGCTTCTCTGTCCATGGAATTCTCCAGGCAAGAATACTGGAGTGGGTTGCCATTCCCTTCTCCAGGGGATCTTCCCGACCCAGGATTGAGCCCAGGTCGCCTGCATTGCAGGCAGATTCTTTACCATCTGAGCCACCAGGGAAGCCCCATATCCCTAGCTATATGGCCAGAAAAAGAAAGGAGGAGCCGACAGAAGCCCCAGGAACAGTGCTCTGCTGGCTGATGGGGCGAGCCCTCTGAGGACATAGCCACCAGTCCCAGTTCACATATGGGGGCACACTGCGCCTCAGAGCAGCCTGCTCCCCTTGAGCTCACAGAGAACCCTCGTGGCAGCAGTGAAAGCCACCAGAATAGCAGGATACGCCCGCCCGGCCTCTCCATGAGCCCGTCAACTTGATGAAGGAGGCCTGACATCACTTCCTCTTTTCTGTCCTGGAGACACCCAGGCCTCACTTCCTAACACGCAGACCTGAAACCCCAAAACCAAAAATGAGCTGAGACCAGGCCCAACGGTGAGATCTGTTTCTGTTCAGCTCACCTGGGACTGACTTCCTGTGCTCCATAAAATCAGAATATGTGAGTCCCCATCACGCATTGTGGTCTGTAGTCCACCGCCCTAGGAAGGCTAGGCTCAGGTGGTCAGATGTAGGAGGGCCTCACCCTGCAGCCCCGTCACTCGCAGGGGAAACACAAACCCTGAACCACACAGAGAGAGGTCCCATCTGGGAGGGTAACTCAGTCCTTCCAGTCCAGGCACGTGCTTGTGTGTGGGATGGGGGCCATGAGATGCGCTGCGGAGCCCCCTCCCTGCAGCTGTCTCCCCAGCTCAAGTCTCAGATGCTGAGCGCTGCCCCACCTACCTGGTGGGTCCCCTCAACTTCAGGGGTCTCCACCTCTGAGCCCGACTTCAGAATGGAAATCTGGGTGTGGCCTAACTGATCCTCCTGAGCTCAGGAGGCAGCCAGTCTCTGGCCGCCTCGTAAGTTACAGGCCGTTCAAGTTCCTGTATTTTACAACACATTGGCTCCCTGGCAGCCTCAGTGCCCAAGTTCAAAGGGACACTGCACCAGCAAGCAAGGGTTTTGCTTTCTTTTCCTCCCCTCCTCCTGCTTCTGCTCTTAGCAATCACATTGGGGTTAATGACTCTCTTAAAACTCTTCTAGAACAGTTGTAAAATAACTGATCATAACTGCTAACGTCACCTGCTATTGGTGGCCAGAAGTCAACATGGCCCCAAATCAGGTGTGTCTGTCTGGTCCAGACATGCTGAGCCCTGAGCAGAGGGTGGTGCAGGGTCACAGGAGGAGCCCTGGCCCCAGAGACAAAAGCTGTGGTCTTGCCCTGTCTCTGCCACCGGCCAGTCGTCACCTTCAAACAGAATACTGAATACCCTCTGTGCCAGGAGCTGGGGTGGGCAGGGGCGTATCTGACCCAGGTGTCGCCACCGTACCCACAAGAAAGGCCTTTCCCCCGGGGTCTCCACCAAAATGGTGAGCATGGAGCTACTTCCTAAGCTTCTCAGGGCTCCCCTAACTCAGCCCACCAACGAGGGCTGTGTTCCCCTGCCACCTAACCAGCCCCCTCCACGCACCTGGCCCCAGATTCTCACAAATAATACCATCCAACCTTGGCTCTTCTGTGGCCCAGAAACCGGAATGGTGCGGGGGGGAAATCCCCAGGAAGACAGGGTATAGAAGAGGAGTCATTCTGCCATATCCCCAGCCAGGAGACATCAGACAGCTGCCCTGGCCCTGGTTTCTTTCTTTATAATAATGGGGGGCGGTGCCCCGCAGCAGGGTAATGAATCAGAAGATGATGACCCGTGAGAAAGCTGGTTGTCTGTCCTGGGTAAACGCCCCTCGTTACACTGTGATGATTGTTGTTCTGCATCACCACTAACATCCCTTCTTCTCCTTCTCCTCGTTAGGGACACAGCTGGTCAGGAACGGTTTCGGACTATCACAACGGCCTACTACAGGGGTGCAATGGTATGTATTGGTTTGCGTGGGGTTTTGGGGTTTTTTTCTTTCAAGTCAAATGAACATCTTGTCCTTAGATACTGAAACCAGGGAGTTTCTGAGGAGCCCATGGTCTGGCTCCTCGGGGGTCCTTGGTCCCAGGTTAGTTTTAGGAGAAGGCCCTGTGCCCCACCTCCTCCCCCTTGTCCATGCATCCCCTTCCAGCTCCAGAGACAATACAGGGTTTAAGGAAACCTAATTCCCCAGGAATGAAGGAAGACTTAGGAAGCCGGTTCTTCCAGGTGAGGTCAGGTAGATTGGAGCTGGCATGCCCCAACGCTGAGGAGCACTCACGTGGCCCACGTCAGTCTCTGTGGAATTTGCTACCGAAAATTTGAAGATCTTCCAGGAGCTGACTAGCTCTGGGTTGTTGTCTGTTATATCTGCTTCCTGGGCCTGAGGTGGGATGAAGCGATTGGGGGGACTCACTCTTCATCCGTCAAATATTTTCACCAAGCACCTTCTCCAGGCCAGGCCCAAATCAGATGCAGAGGGCAGCCTGGCCTGGGCCAGGGTCCTATCCTCACGATCCCCACGCAGGCCCCGCGCCTGTGAGGAGTGTATACAAAGCGGGGTGCCCAGGGGCTGCTGGGGGTGAGAGGAAGCTCCCCAAGACCTACTCCGCCACCGGAGTCGCTCTCTGAGCGCGTTCTCCTTACTTAGAAAGTGGTGCAGAGAACAGGAATATACCAGGCAGTTGTCCCAGGCAGTTTCTGTGTCCCCACTGGCCATAGATGGCCAGCTCCCCATTTCCAGCTCCAGCTTTGCCCCATCCTTTCCACGGTGCACCCCATCAGTCAGCTGCTTAGACCTGTTTCCTCCAAGAGGCCGTAAGCTCCAAGAGGGCTGGGCTGCCTCTGGGTCCCCGGCACATGCCCAATGCCTGGGACCAAACTGAGTGTGCGAGGAGCTTGGGAAATGCCGGTGGATGGCAGCAATGAATAGAAGCATTAAGTATTTAGAGCATCCCACACAGCACCTGAACATAATAGAAACTCAATCATGTGGGCTGCAACCTTAGTGCTCCTCATTAAAATTAATTTACTAATTTTCCCCTCACCTTGCTGTGTTCTGGTACAGCAGAGGTCTTGGGGCACTTGGGTCCCGGGGGAGCTTTTGCTGTGTGGCCTCAGGCAGACCCTGTCCCTCTCTGGGCTGAAATAATACCCCTACCCACCAGCCACTCGCCCCTTTCACCAAGCTCTTCTCTGCAGCTGGCAGGGGGCCTAGGTCTTGAACATAAACCCCTGAGTGTAGGTGCCATGATCGTCCCCATTTTACAGATGAGGAGCCTGAGGCTCGGCACCATTTCAGGCCCTGCTTAAATTCACACAGAAGATAAATGGGCCGGTAGTGAGTGACTGGCTCTTCCCAGCCCTCGCGTCCTCAGCGAGCTCCTGACGAGGCAGGACTGAGCCATCTGTGAGACCCTGTCCAGCCCCAAGATGACCGTGTCCTCCCAGACCTACGCTAACTCGTGGAAGCTGCCAGCTCTGTGTGGCCATTTGAATCTAAATCTGTTAAAAGTTGTCAACCCAGGCCCTCAGTCCCACCTGCTGCACTTCAGGGGCCCCAGAGCCTTGTACCGCCAGTGGGGACCATAAAGGATAGGGCAGGGAACATTGCCACCACTGCACCCCATCATCACCTTTTCTTTGTCCTTGTGGCACTGGACCAAAGTTTGGGGAGCATCGGACATCTGATGTCTGGTTGTGAGCTTGCAGACAGATCTGAGGAACTGTGCCCAAACAGGCCAGAGAGATGCTCACTTGGAGCCTTGAGGGGCACTTCAGGGAGGACCTGAAACAGAGTGATCCTGTGTTTTGGGTTTCCCTGATGACTTAGCAATAAAGAATCCGCCTGCCAATGTAGGAGACAGAGGTTCGAGCCCTGGGTCGGGAATATCCCCTGGAGAAGGAAATGGCAACCCACTTCTCACACAGAAGACTTTTACCTTCTGTGGGAATGTAAGCAGGTCTTCTTGCCTGGGAAATCCCATGGACAGAGGAGCCTGGCAGGTTACAGTCCATGGGGTTGCAAAGAGTCGGACGTGACTGAGCAACAACAGATGTTTTCCAGGGACTCCTGCGCCTCCTGATGGAGTTGTATTCATTGTCCCCCCTTCAAGCCGCCACAGGTAAAAATCTGGGACCTTGGAATCTTGCATCCATGGCACCAACCCAGCAGTGGTGGCAGCGGAATCCTAGGCCATCAGAGGGGCCAGTCCCTGAATAAAGGAGCAGAAAGGCCTCCCAGGCCTGTGGCATCTCTAGCCCCATGGGTAGAGGCCCCACTGATGCTCGATTCAGAGTGTCCACCCGCCAGAGTCTTCTCAGGCTCAGCTTGGCTGGAGCATGGCACACATCACAGCCACTAAAGGCTCCTCCAAGTCTTCCTGTCCAAAATCTCCATTTAGTGTCCGCAAGAGACCACTGGATGAGGGTTCCCAGATGGCATTTTTGAGGAGTCATGGCTGTGGTGGGCTATAAGGCCACTTTATGTAGCCTCAGAGTCCCAGCGGGGATTGGGAATAGCAGCATCTTGCCTGCCCTCTCTGTGGTTTTGTCACAGCCTCGCCCTGTGGTTATCTGCCCAGCACACATGGCCTGCGTTCTTATTCTGCAAATTCAGGCGGCCTTAGAGACGTCTTAGCCAGCACCAGCGCTTGTGAACGGAGGCTTTAGGCCCCTGGAGCAGGTGGTGGTGGTGGTTTAGTTACTAAGTCGTGTGTGACTCTTTGCAACCCCGTGGGCTGTAGCCCACCAGGCTCCTCTGTCCATGGGATTCTCCAGGCAGAAATACTGGAGTGGGTTGCCATTGCCTTCTCCAGGGGATCTTCCCGGCCCAGCGATCAAACGCAGGTCCCCTGCGTGGCGTCGCAGGCAGATTCTTTACCACTGACCCCCCAGGGAAGCATGTAAGATGAAGAAATGGAGTGAGCCGGGCCTGGGCAGGACAGCAGGGGCCGTGTGCCTCGGAACCCGGGGGCTGAGCCGCACAGGGGCTGGAGATCCTGTTGCAGGCTGGCTCACCACATGCCCTGCGGGGATGTCCAGGGCGGCAGGGGGCCTGTCGCAGGGTGGCCCTGACCACTGCTTGATCCTGTGGAGGGTCCAGGAAGGTTCCTGTCATCAGCTCTGTCAGAGCTGGGTTGGCATCATAAAGGTCACGTCTCTCTGCACTTCAGTTTCCTCTTTTATCAAGTGGGGTATTTGTCCTTCTTGGCAGTGGCGGGTTGTAGGCTCAAGCGGAGACGGGTTCCCTTTGCACCTGTTTCAGAACCCATGGACTGTCTCCCAGTTGCTCACACGTTGGTTACAGAACCACAGAGGCCTCAGCGTTGCCTGCCCCAGGGCTTGAAGCCAGCCCAATAATGGTGGGGTTGCTGGAAGGCACGTGGGCATCAGGGTTTGTCCCCCTAGGCCTAGACCCCAGTTGTGTCCTTTACTTTCTCGTGTGTCTGGAGAGAGGGACCTAGCCCCCCCGCCCCCACTTGCAGCCCCAGGGTCCCCATTCTCACAGTGGAGACACTGGGGCCACCCGACCCAAGCCTGTGTGGCTCAGGGAGGCCCTGTTACAGCGCCCAGCTCATGGCAGGCACCAGATGAGGGGTGATGCTGGGATGACCAGAGGCGGCTGCCCTGGCTGAGTCTAGGGGGAGACTCGGCAGGGTGAGTGGGTGTGGAAGACACCGAGCGTCGCCAAGGGTGGCAGGAGGGGGAGCACGGTGGGCATCAGGCCCTCGGAACACAGTCTGTAGAGCAGGGGCTGCCGGAGGCGAGGTTGGGAGGTCAGCCACTGGGCCCTCGATGGCTGCCAAGGCATGCGGGCTTGTGTTTTTCCTGCCCGCAGGGCTCCTCTGTAAGCTTGAGGGTAGTGGTGTCTGGACTTGTGGAGGAAGGGTCACATCGGTTGCAAAGGAACAGGACTGGAGCCTGGGCCACCAGGGAGGCTGGTGCTGGAGCCCAGCAGAAGGAAGGGTCCAGGAGAGTGTCCTGTCGGGGTCCCTGCTGCCCGCCTTGCTGGGGCCTCCCCCCGAGGGAACTGGCAGCTCGTCCAGAGCCTGTGTGTCTGTCTCCCCCTGCTCAGGGCATCATGCTGGTCTACGACATCACCAACGAGAAGTCCTTTGATAACATCCGGAACTGGATTCGGAACATTGAAGAGGTAAGTCTCTGGGACCCCCTCCCATGCATCCGCATCTCGGAGCGCCCTGGTTTACCCATGAGATCCCTGAGCACAGAGGCACCTGGAGGTAACTCGCTAGAAACAAAGGGACGGGAATCCACACAGTCGACCCAATCCACCCAGGCGTGGCTTCGTCACGGAGCAGCCCCGAGAGCCTGTTCCCCCAGCCGGGTTGTCTGGTTTGGGCGACCTCGAGATCAAGGAAGGTCAGACCCAGTGTCTGTGAGCATTCAGTGCTTTCTAGAGAAGGAAGGGTCTCGAAGTGGCATGACCTTTGAACTTGGAGGGTGTGGTGAGGGCGTGTCAGGCCAGACTTTGAGCTGCCACTGAGCCAGCTGTGAGCTGGGAGGAGGGACCCGTGCTCAGGCCAGCAGTGCTGGCCCCACAGCAGCCCGTGGGAGGAGACCTTGAACCCCGAGGGAACAGAACCCCCAGGCCCCCCTTCCCGCCCCACTAGTCCCAAAACCAGTGTGGTCATCTTCCTGCTCTCCAAAGAGCTTGCCCTCACCCCCAAAGCCTCCCCCGATGACAAACTTGTGGCTTTTGATGACTCACCGGGTGAGGCTTCCGATCTGAGAACTTCATGCACCTGTGAAGCTAGGGCTGAATGTCACAGCACAGTCGGCATCTGTGGACAGCTGCTCTGGGCTGAGGACCCCACATTTGCTGGCAGGAGGGGGCCTCACACCAGTCTCTGGAAGCTCTCTGATCCTTCCAGTTAGTAGGACGTTTGGGAGCAGCGGCGAGCATTTTTCTGAGGCCAGATCTAAGCTACAGCAAGAAGAACCTTTTCTTTTTCTTTTTTTTAATTATTTACTTACTTATTTAAAGTAATAATGTTAAATCTGTTTTGTACACGAATGAAAAAGCACACACACTTTTTGAAAAAGAATTATATTTTTTAGAACAGAAAGGTTCTGTTTTCTTTAGTCACCTTTGACCCACCTTTTAAAGATAAGAAACATTATCAGTTCATTTATAACACCAAAATGGAGACCCAGGATCAGAGTGGTGAAAAACTACACTGTCAATGGGTGGCAGAGCTGAGATTCAGACCGTCCTGTTTTTCTGATGTCTCTGGTTTAAAGTGAGTGACTGTGAAGTCAGCCCACTCTTTTTCCCTCCTTGAGAAACTAGATAGGTTCGATCGTGGGTCTGGGTAGCTCTCCATTTCCTATGCTTCAGGGACCTTTTGAAATCCTCCTGTAATAGTTTGCACACTGGTTTGCCCTCTAAGGGCCGCTCATGGCCGAGTCCTTCAGGAAGTGAGGCCCACTGTGGGGTGCAGGGGAGAGATGGAGGAAGGAACCATTTTCGGGCATGAAGTGAGAGTGAAAGTCACTCAGTCACGTCTGACTCTTGGCGACCCCATGAACTCTAGCCTGCTAGGCTCTTCTGTCCATGGAATTCTCCAGGCCAGAATTCTGGAGTGAGTAGCCATTCCCTTCTCCAGCGGATCTTCCCCACCCAGGAATTGAACCCAGGTCTCCCACTTTGCAGGCGGATTCTTTACGGTCTGAGCCAGCAGGGAAGCCCAGGAACACTGGAGTGGGTAGCCCATCCCCTCTCCAGCGGATCTTCCCGACCCAGGGATCGAGCCAGGGTCTCCTGCGTTGCAGGCCGAGTCTTTACCAGCTGAGCTACCAGGGAATCCCTTTCAGGCATGAGGGCAGAGTTAAGGAAACGCCCTTAAGGCGGAGCAGCTGGCTGGTGACTGCCAAGGGTGAGGACCACCCGGGCACAGCCTGTATCTGGAGCCCAAAGCAGGGGAGCTGGAGCCAGGCAGACAGTGCTCGGACAGCGGCGGACGCCTCTGGCGGGGGGGCCGGGGAAGAGGGAGGCGAGCCGGGGTCAGGACCCCCACCCCACTTGCCTCCCACAGGCCAGACACCGCCAGCAGTCCAAGGACAAGCATGGTAGCCTGGAGAGAAGGCGTCCTTGGCTGCCAGAAAGCACGCACTTGGTCGGGGTGGCAGGCAGAAGCCTGCGCTCGGCCCTGGCTCTGAGACAGGGGACAGGCCTCTCGGCCTCTCTGAGCTTCAGCTTGCCCTGTGTTCAGGGTGTGTCTAGCCGTCCTGATCACACCGCTCTGATCTTGGGGCACAGGTTGGCAGTGGGTCCACAGTCCAGTCCGACCTCACCTCTCCCCTCCCCCACCTGCCCCTCCTCCCCAGCACGCCTCTGCAGACGTCGAAAAGATGATACTTGGGAACAAGTGCGACGTGAATGACAAGAGACAAGTTTCCAAGGAACGGGGAGAAAAGGTGGGTGTGGTGACCAGCTTGGCATTGCCAGGTACCGTGGAGCAGAGGGACCTCAGGGTCTAGAGTTCCCTGCACAGAGGCCAGACCTGCTCTGCCCCAGATAGGCCCCCCGAGGGGATTGGGGGACAGGCTTTAGAAGGGGGGAATCCCTCACCATCTTTATGAACAAAGACGACCCGCCCTCCCGGGATGCTAGGCTCAGCTAAGGCACACAGTTGAGTCGGCTGTCTGGGCCCGTGCCTTGGGAAGGGAAGGTGGGGTGCACGTGCCCGGCCAGGCTTCAGGCTAAAGACTGAAAGCGGGGGCTTCCTGCTGTGCTCTGCTGCTCCCACACAACATCGCATGGGTCCCCGTGAGGCCAGAGGGGCAGAGAACAGAGCCGTGGTTTGAGCCAGGCCCCCTCGACCCTCCTGCCAGGGACGTCCACCACCTACTCTCTGCTGGGGGCTGGAGGGCGTAGGCCCCACTCTGTCTCAGCCCCCCCTCACTGTTAACCACTTAGGGTGCTGTGTGGGGGTCAGGGCACCCAGCAGCTGATGTTCACATGTGTGTCTCCCTCCCAGCTGGCCCTGGACTATGGAATCAAGTTCATGGAGACAAGCGCAAAGGCCAACATCAACGTGGAGAACGTGAGTCCTAGGCTCGCGGCACCAGCCCCTTTGGGCCGAGGGTCAGATCGCACCCTCCAAGGAGGCTGTGTCTCAGGGACTGGCCACAGGCTCCCGCGGCCTCTAGACTGATGACCAAGAGGTTCTCCTTGAGCAGCACCACGTGCCAGGCCCCTTGCAAGGCCCAGGCAGTTTGGGGGGATCGCCCCCGTGTTCTGACACCAGCAGGGGCCAGTCCCCGCTGGGTACCTAGGACACGATCTCACTGGCTCTCGGGCCATGCTGGGGAGCAGGTGCGGTTTTGTAGGTGGGGGGACCGAGACGCAGAGAGTCCTCCCGGCTGGCGCCGAGGCTCACCTCCAGGTTCGCGCTTTCATTCACAGCGCCTGCCTGTCCAGAGCAGGGGGCCCTGCCCAAGACTTGGCCCAGGCAGGCCTTCCTCTCCGCTCCACCAGCCCTGTAGCTCCCCTGCCTTCTGCTCCATTCCGCCACTTCTGAAATCTTTCCAGAATGGATCTTCCGCGCCACTCCCAACCTCAGCCACCTACAAGAGGCACAGAAAGCTGTCCCTAGCTGGCCCCAGCCAGTGTGTGTCGCCTGTGGCTCGGGCCTCGCCCACCTCTGAGCCTGGCCCCCTGTGCCGTGCCCTCCTCCAAGCCTTTACCATGGTCCCGTCCCCCTTCCCTTCCCCATCAGGGACAAGTCCATGCGGCCCCTCCCCCAGGAGGCCTGTGCCATCCCCCAGGCCCTTAGGCCTACCACTTTGGGCATCCCCGGCACCCCGAGACCCCCTCCACAGCAGAACTTGACCACATCAACGAGTTTTCAGTGACACTCTGCCTCTCCCCAGACCAGCAGCCCTCGACAGCACATGCGAAGGCTGATTCATCCCTGTATTAGGCTCGGGGCAGGGTTGGTGCCAGAGTGGGGTTTGGGAGTGCTGCCCAGATGGGGGGGGAGGAAATACACGGTCAGGAGACTGGCACGAGCAGCAGCCTGGGGTCAGGTCAGCTCAAGCCTTCACCCGTCCTGGGAAGGTAAACCTTTGACCCTCGCTCCCAGGCCTTTCGGGGCAGCGACCCAAAATGAAGCTTATTTGGCCAAGGAGCCACTTGTCTCTCTGCCCTGCCCCGACTGTTAGTAGCAGGGCAGAGCAGGCAGCACAGGGGTCAAGGACTGAGAGCGCAAGGAGTCAGGGAGCCCCTGGCTGCCCTGGGACAAGCCACTGGCCCCCTCCATGCCTCAGTGTCCCCTCTGACCAATCAGGGGCGATCCCACCTCCTTGGATCATTGGCTCAGGGGGAGTGGTGGTCTGGGTGAGCGGGGGCATCCCTGCGGTGACAGGAGATAGATGGGGATGGGCAGGTGAGCCCCGTGCCTGGGTCTCTGTCCTAACACTGTGCCGCCCTGCCTCGCTGTTGAGCCACACCCATTGCATGGCAGGGGCCAGGAACCAGCCAGCCCCCATCTACCTCCCACTCCCAGGGTGCTAACCATGTCCTTATTCCACAGGCATTTTACACTCTCGCCAGAGACATCAAAGCAAAAATGGATAAAAAATTGGTGAGTGGGGGTCCCTGTTGAAACTGGCCGGCATCGCCCCCAGTGGTGTGATCCACCCCTGGGCGGGGCCCTGCTTCTGAGGGCTGCACCTAGGAGGGCATCGCTAGGAAAGGAGGCCGAGTTAGCAGGTGGCGTGTGGGCATCCACCCTGAGCTTGCTCATCAGCTTCATCTTTTTTTTTTAAAGAATGACGTTGTTGTTTCTGTTGTTTTTAATTCATTTATTTTATTATTTTTGTGGCTGCACTGGGTCTTTGTTGCAGAGTCAGGGGCTGCTCTAAATTATGGTGCTCTGGCTTCTCATTACAGTTGGTGGTTTCTCTCGCTGTGGCTCACAGGCTCGAGGCTTGAGGGCTTCAGTAGTTGCAGTGCGTGGACTCGGTAGTTGTAGTACACAGGCTTAGTTGCTCCACAGCATGTGGGATCTTCCCAAATGGGAGATCGAAGCCATGTCCCCTGCATTGGCAGACGGATTCATGTCACTGTGCCATGAGAGAAGTCCGTCATGAGCTTCATCTTTCCACTGGCCCAGAGCTACTCAGTAGCAGGCACTGCTCGCTAAGCCCACCAGCTGGCTGGGAACACACGGCCCTTTCCTTCCCTCTCAGGAGCCAAGCCCACAGGAAGATGGAGGGCCTCCTGCAGAAAAACCCGCCAGGCAGGCTGAGAACCAGAGTCTACCGAGTCGCAAGGCCCCCAGGCAAGGCTTGCGTCTTGACAGCTGCTGGTTTTCCATCCTGAAGAGTCCGGCAGGTTGACAGCCTTTTTCCTTCCAGCCTCAGTCTGCAGGTTGTGCCGGCCTTCAGTGCTTCCCAGGGCTCTGAGGCCTCTAAGAGGTCCTGCCTGAATCCCTCCCTCATACCCTTTCATTCATTTCCAGCTTGTGGGTTTACCACAGAAGCAGTTTCGTAGTCCCAGGCATTCGGCATCACTAGTGCTTTCTTGGTGGAGGCCAAACGCTCAACCGTTCTGGGGGCATGTTCAGCACCGAAATGCTGTTGTGAGCCTTGCTCCAGGGCCTCTGTTCCAGGAACCATTCTGTTCCTGCCAAGTGATGCTTCCTGTTGTCTGACACAAGAGCTTGAAGCACTCTGTGACCCGTTCTACGTCTGGTCATACAGGACTGCATGCCCAACACAAAACACCATGCAAGTAGTTCACATCTGATTCAAAATGAGTGTCATTTTCATAATTCTAAGATGCCGTGAATTGAATTGCAGAGCACATGATCGCCTGAGTAGCAGCTCTTTAGCCAAAACAGGAAACAGTCTATGTAAGCCGACGTACTTTTAGAAAAATTTTCTTACACTTGTAATTTCCTTAGAATTCTTTTCTCCTCAATATAACTGTAAAAGTTTGATTCTTAACCACCGTTCTGACTCACTTGGACCCAGTGGGAGTTACACCGGGCATCATGACAACACTTTATGCCTTTATTTTTTATTTTACCGTATGATTATGACGTTTTATTTCGGCTGCATTGGATCTTTGCTGTGGCACGCAGGTTTTCTGTAGTTTCAGCACGTAGGCTCCTCTTAAAAAGCATGAGCTCTGGAATACACAAGCTCAGCAGTTGCAGCACACAGGCTTAGTTGCCCCATGGCACGTGGGATCTTAAGTTCCCTTACCAGGGATTGAACCCACATTCCCTGCCTCGGACAATGATTCTTAACTGCTGGCCCACCAGGAACGTCCCTGCCTGTGCTTTTCATACAGGCCTGTTGGTTGCCTCCTTCCAAGGCATAGATTATGAGATGCTGATGCTCAGCGATAATCTATGTAATTTCTTTTTTTTTTTTAACTAAGTTGCAAATCACCAACAATTAAATTCTGTCCAGTTCTTACTACGTTTATGTTCAGAATGGCAGTCCCGGATCCTTTCCTGTTGGTCTTTTTATTTATTTTTTAATGTAATTCACATGGGACATTGTATAAGTTGGGCATTGTTGTAACATTCAACAGTTACTGTTGAATAAATTCAGATTTTACCTAAGAGCTGAAAGATGAGAAGAAATTAGTCAAAGAAACAGTGCCTGCACCCTTCCAAACATGTGGGGGAAAATAGGATTTCAGATGTCAGGGCTGGCAGGGGCCAGATCACAGGCTTCAGATGCTGGGCAGCAGCCCTGATGGGTTTTCAGAAGGGCTTGAGTTGAGGGCATGCCTAGCCTGCAGCAGGGCGGAGGGCGAACCGTGGGGAGAGGTGGGAGCCGGAGCCTTGGCACGGGGACAGGGAGGCCAGTGGGTGTGAGTGGCAACGGGACCCAGAACCCAGCACCTTCACATCCCAAGAGGCAGAGCCTTTTGCTGCCCCTCAGCTGCCTCACTGATAGGTGCTTGGCACAGATGCATAGACAGACAGAAAGGAGGGAAGGATGGGTGACTGGAAAGAAGGAAATGGGGGAGAAGAGTGTGAGATGGGTGAATCTGGTTGGAAAGATGTTGGAAAGGTGTGGATGGGTAGATGAATGAGTGATTAAAGGAATACATGGTTAGAAGGAGCGATGGATGGGTAGTAGATGAAAAGCAGATCCATGGGTGTTTGAAAGATGAGTTGGAGGGGACAGCTGGAAGGATTGATGGATGATCAAAGGGGAAGGTTGGGATGGTTGGTTGGAAGGAGATGGATGGAAAGAAGGAAGGGGGTATGTGGACGATGGATGGGAGTGAGCGGGTGGTTGGATGGAAGGGGATGGAAGATGGTCGGATGGAAGGAAGGAGATGGGTGGATTGTTGGTTGGAAAGGGTTGGATGGAAGGAGTTTGATGGATGATGGATGGGAGGGAGTGGGTGGTTGGATGGAAGGGATGGATGGATGGTTGATGGAAGGAATGAAGGAGACGGGTGGACAGTTGGCTGGAACGTGACAGATGGATACAGTGGCTGGTTGATTGAGGGGCGTAGAGCTCATGTTGCTTGGCTGTAACCCCAGAAAACCCCTTGTGATTTCAGGAAGGCAACAGCCCCCAGGGGAGCAACCAAGGAGTCAAAATCACCCCGGACCAGCAGAAGAGGAGCAGCTTCTTCCGATGTGTCCTTCTGTGAGGAGTGTCGCCTTACTCTGAGCCTCGCTCGGCCCAGCTGACTGTGCCTGTCCTGAGTGAGCCCCTCACTCAGCCGGGGCCCGCCCCCCTCCAGCACCCCCCGCCGCGGCCGCGGCCACTGGGCCCACGGCCACCAGAACACAATCGAGAAATCGTTTATTTTAGCAACTGATCTTTTTCAACTCTGGAGATGGAATGAGTGAAAAGAACCTGCTGTCTTTCCTGCGACGTCTGCTGAGTGGGTCCACACAGCGTGTAACTAGAGAGAGAGATGGAGTCGCGGCGTGGCCGTCGGTAGCAGCCCACCACCTCTGGGCCTCGACAGCCAGAGCCCCACTGGGAAGCCCGTCCACCATCCACGTCCCCTTGGAGCAGGAGCAAGGCCCCCGCTGAGGCCGGCGATCACTCCCGTAGCGCTCGAGCACGCTGACCCACGTCAGGCCGGGAAGCACCTGCCCCGCACGTCCGACGCCCACTGTCACCTCTCCTCTCGGTTTCTGGACGAGTGACAGAAGCCATTATCCCCACCCCCACCTGTCCCCACCATCCCGTCTCATTTTAACTGTCAAACCAAAGGGAAGCACAAATTAAGGAAGTCCTGAGGAAAGAAGCATGGCGTGGCCTTTCCTGTTTACAGCCAGGTTTGGTCCCCTGGTCCAGCCGGGCCTCGGACTCGGCTGGCAGGTCTCTCCAGCAGTCCCCACCTGAGCTCCGGGGGCTCCGCGTGCGTGCCTCGGGGGCCCCCACTCAAACCGTCTCCACTCGGCCCACCCGTCGGGGCGCCCACTCCTCTTCCTTCTCCCGTCGTCTGCGAATTGGACGTTCTTTCTAGAGATTTTTATTTTTCCAGATCCGTAGTGTCAGGAGGTGATTCCGTCTTTGATTTACAGTGGCAGACCCAGGTGATCTATAACACGCATACCCTTCCCCGCCGAGAGCGCAGGGTGGCCCGCGGAGCCGGGCTGAAGAGCAGTCTGGGCGGGTTTTCAGCTGCCATCGTTGCCCAGTGCTGTTCCAACAGCTCTTAAGTTCCCGGAGCGACGGCAGTCGGCACCAGGTCGCCAGGTCAGAGGGGTGTCACCAGGGAGCCTTTCTCTTTCTTTTTTGAATTAAAACCAACATACCAGCAATAGTCTGCTCTCCCCTGGAAATCTCTTTAACCTGCTCTGTTTACGTCGATAAATGCACTTACAGAAACCAAACCAATTAAAGCTCATTTCAAAGCTAACAGATCTTTATGTCCGCATTTTCCGTGTAGGTACACGGATGTGGCCACACGTTGTGTTCACAGGATGCCTGCTATTTAAAACACAGCCCAGGTCAGCAGGGGCCTCAGGTCTGGATGGGATCAAAGTAGAGACAGCAGGTTAACCCAGGCTGGAGGAGAAGGTAGCCCCAAGCTCTGAGGAGGTGACACAATTACACAAAGACTGACTTGGGAAAATAAGCTTTCCAACCCCCCAAACACATACACATACAGCAGAGGAAAACAGAACGCTCCCTGCCAGCCTCGTGCCCTCGACTGAACCCACTCTGTCCACATTCACCCTGCCAGGCTTCTCTTGGTCCCTGCTGACATGTTTTGCCAAGTTGAGCACTCCACTGCGAGCCCCCTTCCTCACCTATCGGGAGATCCTGCTGCAGACCCACCACTCAACCAGGGACTGAGCCTCAGTTCCCTCGTCTGTAAGATGGACAGTATCATGGTCTCCACCTTACAGGATGGCTCTGAGAAGTCCATGAGAGGGCACATCCCCAGCCAGCTGCTGAGGCCTGTTGTCATCTGATTTATTACCATTAGCATTGTTACTCATCTCCCAAGAGAAAAACCCACCTCTTGTTTCGCCCAGGGAACAAGTCATCCAAGTTAACAGCTTTGTGCTGTAAAGTATTTGCTCCATAATGCCCCAGGTTCCCACCGGTCGCTCCCAGCCAGGTCACGTAGGGTCCTTAAGCCCCTCATCTCACCTTGTGTCAGCCTCTCGCTCAGAGTCATTACTTTTCCTTGTTTCTAAAGATCTTGAAGAGGTGGCACGTGGAGAATCAGCTTGCCAGCTCCATCTCCCCCGTACTGAGCCACATGATATCTTGGCTCTTTTGATGACAGCTTTTGTTCAGTCACTCAGTTGTGTCCGACTCTGCAACCCCATGGACTGCAGCATGCCAGGCTTCCCTGTCCTTCCCCATCTCCTGAAGTTTGCTCAAACTCGTGTCCATTGAGTTGGTGATGCCATCCAACCATCTCATCTTTTGTTCCCTTCTGCCTTCGATCTTTCCCAGCATCAGTGTCTTTCCCAGTAGCAGCTATAGAGAGATGTAATTCATATGCATACCATTCACCCACCACAGTGTGCAGTACAGTAGTTTTGAGTAGTCACAGTGTTGTGGAACCATCACTGCAGTCAGTTTTAGAAATTTTTATCACTTAACTACCCATTAGCAGTCACTCCCCATTCCTCAGCCCCCAGAAACCACCAATCTGCTTTCTGTCTCTGTGGATTTGCCTGTCCTGAACATTTCATATAAATAGAATCGTACACTGTGTGACATGCATCTGGCTTCTTTCACTCAGCATAAAGTTTTGGGGCTCAGTCATGCACTTCATGTCTTTTTACAGCTGGGTAATATTCCACTGTATGAATGGATCACATCTTTTCTACGTTCACCCGTTGATGGATGTTTGTGTTGTCTCCACCTTTTGGATACTTTGCCTGTCTGCTTTGCATGCCTGCCAAGTTTGTTCCTCTCCCAGCACACTTCCCCTGCTGGCTTCTCCTTCGCCAGCCTCTCCTGCATGTGGACTTCTGTGGCATCAGTCCCCTCACGGACCATAATGAGCCCCAGCAGGACAAGAACAGAATCTCTTTTGTCTTCTTCACCAGCATCTAGCGTGGTGCCCACAGGTGGGGCTCACCGGTGTCTGTGGAATGAACAAATGAATGAATTGATAGAATGGAGGCATTGGGGCACGAACGTAAGGACCATGAAGGCACAGGAAGCTCAGAGTTGACAGGGCTTCCCCAGCCCTGACAACTGCAGCCCAATGTGTCCCAGGGCTGAGACTCGCTTGCGGCCACTACGACTCGAGAGCCACCCCACATGGGATCCACTGAATGTCACACCAGCTGAGGCCTCCAGCGAGGATCCCAGATCCTAGATTAAGGGGCTGACGTAAGGGGGTGGACAGGAGTCTTGGAGCCCCCCAGCCCTACTGTCTCCCTGCTGGTCCCCTTCTGGAATGTTCCTCTGAGGGCCATGTGTCTATTCACAGGTTCAAAGACTGGTCACCAAGCGGTGGGGGTGATTCTGTTGTGACAGCCTCAGGGGAGGACTTGGTCTGTGAAAGAACACGTCCCCCACGCAATCAGAGTCATGAGGGCGGGGCCCTTTGTGGTGGGGCCTCAGGGAGGTGGCCTGGAGATGACTGAAAAACCTCATGTTTCTAGAGACTGAACTCCATGTAAATGAGGTCCCCAATGGTCAGACTTTCTGTGATAAAGGTCTGTTGGTCGATTCTGATCCCCTCCACAGCAGCATTGCTCCTCTCTTCAAGGCTGGGAGCCCATCCATCGGGCCGGGGAAGGCATAGAGGATCAGAGAGGTGAAGTGAGTTGCCCAAGGCAGCCCAGCTTCTGAAGTCTGGAGGCCAAGCTTGCCTCTCCCTCAGCCAGGAGCAAAGGCATCCGCTTAAATCGCAGTGAAGAGTCCCCGTGTTCCTCTTAATTGAACGTCGTGCAGCTTGCTGCAGGGTTGTCTCACCTTAATCATCACGTGGCTCAGGAGGGCTGCCCACTTCACAGATGAAAGAACTGGGGCGGGGGCGGGGGGGGTGTCTGAGTGACTCACGCAAAGCCACACCGTGAGTGAGCGAGTGAGAAACCCAGCTCCATGCGTCTCCTGTTTGAGCATGATTGACTCCAGGACGAGCACCCCCAACCCCCGTCCAACCCCTGGTGCGAGGGGCCAGCGGGGGGCTGGGGCAATCCAACGTGAGCCTTCAATTGGGGAGCGGGGTCGGGGGGAGGCAGCTACCTCAACCAGCTGTACCAGGGCGATAGGTCCGCAGGGAGGCCCCAGCTCAGCCACAGGGATCTGGGCCATTTCTGTCTGAGAAGCTCGGAGGAAGTGGTTTTGCCGGGGAGGGGTGAGGTAGCCAGCACACATGTGGGGCTAGCTGATCCGTTAGGCCGGGTACCCACTCTCAGGGCCCACAGTGTATGTAGGATGCCCCTCAAAATGTCTTAGTTTTTTTTTAATCAGAAGGAAAAAATGGGTACAATAATAATGAATATATAAAATGAATCCGGCCTGGGCTGCATTGGTCTTGGTGTCAATGCAGTCATAAAGTAGAATGTTAAGTGGGCGCTTTGTTTGTTTGTTTGCTTACAGAGGAAATTGTAACATAGCCCTGCTTACACAGTGAGGCCTTTGCCTGTTCAGGCTCAGTCCTGCTGCCTCAGGCCCTTTGCTTGTGCTGTTCTCATCCCTGCCCGGGCCCAGAGCATTCTTCCCACACAACCCCCCAGTCAAGTTGACTCCAACCTGCCCCTCCCTAGCCCTTCCTGCAGATCAGTTTGGCCTCCTCTGGAGGTTCTTACAACACCAGTTCCCGCTTCCTAATAGGCTGTCCACTTTAAAATGATGACATGAATCATTTCTCACCCCTCTTCGTTGCTTGCCAGGTTATCAATGCTGGGAGGGCAGGGCCTATGCCTGTCTTGGGGTCACCCCTGTGTCCCCTGAGGATCTAGCACACAGTTCAGTTCAGTTGCTCAGTCGTGTCCGACTCTTTGCGACCCCATGAGTCGTGGCACGCCAGGCCTCCCTGTCCATCACCAGCTCCCGGAGTTTACTCAAACTCGTGCCCATCGAGTCGGTGATGCCATCCAGCCATCTCATCCTCTGTCGTCCCCTTCTCCTCCTGCCCCCAATCCCTCCCAGCATCAGGGTCTTTTCCAATGAGTCAACTCTTTGCATGAGGTGGCCAAAGTATTGGAGTTTCAGCTTCAGCATCAGTCCTTCCAATGAACACCCAGGACCGATCTCCTTTAGGAGGGACTGGTTGGATCTCCTTGCAGTCCAAGGGACTCTCAAGAGTCTTCTCCAACACCACAGTTCAAAAGCATCACTTCTTCGGAGCTCGGCACACAGTAGGTGTACAGTAAAGACCTGTCGAGGTCTGGGCTTCCCTGGTGGCACAGTGGCTAGGAATCTGCCTGCCAGTGCAGGGGACCCGGGTTCGATCCCTGGTCTGGGAAGATCCCACATGCTGAGAACCTGCCAGGCCCGAGAGCTACAACCACTGAGCTATGGAAGCTGGCGCGCCCTGGAGCCCATGCTCTGCAACAAGAGAAGCCGAAATGAACAGCAGCCCCAGCTCATCACAATTAGAGAAAACCCACGTGCAGCAACGAAGACCGAGCCAAAACAATACACAAAAAGCAGACTGGGGCTGAGGGTGGGGGTGGGGGCCAGTTGGTGTCCTAGTCCCCGCCCAGGGCTCACCTACTTAAGGAAACAGGAACCACTTGGGGCAGAGTGCCCCGCCCTGCTGACGTGCAGACCCTAAAGCGAAACCCAAGGCTCCTGTAGTTGCCGAGGCACGGCCAGAGTGAGGGCCTCGGGCCCTGCAGGGGTCTCCCAGGTACATGCCTATTTCTGTGCCCACCCCATGCTGGGTGAGACTGGGGCCCCAAGAGCCTCAGCCTCATCTGCACCCTTGAGGAGATAACACATGGGAACCAGGCTGGACCAGGAGGAGAGCCAGGGCTGGCGGGGTCCAGAGAAGCAGGAAGAACCTTCCGGGGGCACTGGTAGGTGACTATTGGAAAATAGAGCTGGAATTTGGAAAAGAGCATCCCTGACAGGAGCACAGCTGGGGCAGAGACATGGAGAGGAGAGAGGGAGCTTGGTCAGTGTGGAGCAGAGCAAGGATGTGGGCGATGAGAAGGTGGGGGAGGCTCCAAGGCGGTGGTCAGGAGCTTCAAACTTAGTATGACTTCATTCATCACCCTGCACCCTCCCCTGTGCCACTCCGTCAGTGCCAGGTGATGCTGGGGACCCAGAAAAATCCAAAAGAACCTAGCCCCGGACCCGATCCCCAATAGCCCGTAATATGGGATAGACAGAACCAGACACATGTTCCATGAGGCAAGGCTAAGCCAGAGGCAGGAATGGTGGGAAAGATGGAAGACAGATGGATGCCAGGGCTTTGTCCTGGAGAAGAGGCAAGAAAGCTGCCTGGAGGAGGGATATTCTTGCTGGGTCTTGAAGGATAAGCAAGAGTTCTCCCAGGTAGCAAAAAGAACAAGCCTGTAAATATTTCCTCATTCTAGGTCACTACTGGGTTCATGAATATTCATTATATGCATATAGTGCTGACCTCTGTGCTAACTGTACCTTCTCAGGCAATTACCATCATCAGCCCCAAATGGCAGATGGCAATTCAGGCACAGAGGGGTTAAGTGGCATGCTCAGGATCACCCAGCAGCCAAGTAGGAGAGCTGCGGGCTGAACCCAGGTTGTCTGACTCTGATTGGGCTCAGTTGGTTTATCACCCTGCTTTATTAAACATTTCATAATAGATTTCTTTAATTTCACTCACTACAGAGTTTCTTTGGGTTCTTCCCCAGAGGGTGTGTTTGGCATCTGTTTTCTGGCAAGAGAAAGTCAATATTGACTGGGTTGATAAACACACCCTCCTTGTAGAAACAGCTTGGTAACAAAGACCTTCTGAGATTGAAAAATCAGACCAGTGGGGGAGGGGGGAGGGTTGAGCTCCAGCGTGGGCACAGAATTAAGGGTAAGAGTAAAAGGTCACGTGTGGACAATCCTTTGGCTGGTTTTTCACTGACTTAATACCATTTTGCAAATTACTGCTGTTTTCTTTCTCTGTTTTCCAGCTCTGGGTCACTGGCTCATGAAGTCCATTGGTACCTGAGCTTAAAACTGTTGAGAATGTGTGTGAATTAATCATGCACTTGTCAAGTGATAGATGTGCCATCTCTAGCCACCACCCTTGGTGACAATAGTGGCAGAAGCAGCTGTTTGGGGCCACATCTCTGTAGTGTTTAATGAAACCATGGCAACATTTTATGACACCCACTGTGTACCTGCAGTTTCATTCATTCACTTATGATTTTGCCATCTCCACATCCCTCCTGGGAAAGTGATAGTTACTTAATTTAACCTCTACATAAATTCAGACTCGTCAGGTGGCTTGGATGGTAAAGAATATGCCTGCAATGCAGGAGACCTGGCTTTGATCCCTGGGTCAGGAAGATCCCCTGGAGGATGGATGGGCTACTTGCTGCAGTATTCTTGCCTGGAATACTGAATTCCATCCAATTGCTGAATTCCATCCAATTCCATTCAATTCCATAGACAGAGGAGCTACCGTCCGTGGAGTCGCAAAGAGTCAGACATGACTGAGCGACACAAACTCAGTTCTTAAACTTAAATCGTGGTTGTTTAGTCGCTCAGTCGTGTCCAACTCTTTGCAACCCCATGGACTGTAGCCCACCAGGCTCCTCTGTCCACGGGATTTTTCCAGGCAAGAATACTGGAGTGGGTTGCCATTTCCTTCTCCAGGCGATCTTCCCTATCCAGGGATTGAACCCGGGTCTCCTGCACTGCAGGTGGACTCTTTACCAACTGAGCCACCAGGGAAGCCCTACACTTAAATACATATATGGATAAAAGGGGCTTGCTAATCCTTGTAGTGATGGTACACATAATATGAACAAAAGGAAAAGGAAAAACCCTTGGGAGGAGGTTTTGGGGGGTGAGTCAATGAATGAATGTGCTTTAAGTGCCAACACATAGTAGGTGCTCAAGAAACACAAGCTGATTTCAATCCTGTTGCTCTGTCCAACCTGGAGGACTTCTCAAAGGAGGAGGCACCGTGAAGCTCATGAATGAAGCGAAGGTGGGAAGTGGACCACGCTTGACTCTCTTTCCTCCTTCCCATCGCCAGGTCCCGCCTCACCCCTGGAAGCCATGACTGAGGCCAGAAGGCTGCCCCCACCACTGCCTCCACGACTGGACTGGTTCGTGCAGACGCAGGTGGACCAGCTGACCCGTGAAGGGGTCCCTGAATGGTTCCATGGTGCCATCTCGAGAGAGTAAGGACACGGCCACACCTTCCACCCTGCCCTTCACCCTCTTTCCTGGCCTACCCCCGCCCTAGGCAGGTGTTTACTTTAAGATCCTGGGCTCGGCTGCACTAAGTGAGTTAAGAGGGTTAAATTCTGCCTCCTCCATGGACTCACTATGCAACGTTGGGCAACTTACTCAGCTCTCTCTATATACGTGGCCGCCAGAGCAGTCCCGCCAGGAACTGACAGGCCCCTTCCCCTCACCTCGCTCAGGCGGGGACGCAACCTCACTGAGTCAGTGAAGGTGAAATGCAGCTTCAGAGTCTTAACACGGTGCCCCCCAAACAGCTGCTCTCGGTCCATCAGGGTTTAGCCAGAATGCACTTTCTACATTCGACTGAGCTCCTAGGACACAAACAAATCCACCTAGTCACCCCCAGGGACTAGCTCTAAACAAATAGCAAAAAAAACATTTATTGCCACATTCTAAATGCAGGAAGTTGACGAAACCTTATGAAAGCCACAGAAAGGAGGAATTGGGCATGGTTTCTAAGTTCTGGAGTACACAGCAGAAGTATAATGTAAGCCATACGCTGTAATGTTATGTCATTTTAGTAGCTTTATTAAAAGAGGTGAAAAGAAAGAGGTGGAAGTAACTTTAATCATATTTTTTTATTTAAACCAGTATATTCAACATGTAATTAGCCCTAAGTCCTTAAAATCTGACACATATTATATGCTTTTAGTATATCTCAATTCCTACCAGCCATATTTCAAGTGCTCAGCGGCCACACGTGGCCAGTGGCCTCTGTAGTAGATGTTAGTTGCTTTGTGACCCCATGGACTGTAGCCCACCAGGCTCCTCTGTCTGTGGAATTCTCCAGGCAAGAATACTAGAGTGGGTTTCCATTTCCTTCTCCACTGTATTAGATAGCTCAGGTCCAAAATCCCCCTTTTTGTCTCCTAGAAGGCTACCTCTCACTAGGTGTGAACCCAGGATAATAGTAATAATAATAGTGAGCATCTTGTGTGTTCCTACCAGCTGGCAGGTCCCATACTCACAACATGTGTTTTTCATCTGTCTTCCCACGGGCCCTGGGAGTTAGGGTTTACTTTCCCCTTAAGGAAGCTGAAGGTCAGAAAGGGACTGGCCCTCCCCAGGGGTCACACAGCTAATGAAAAACAAAGCTGGATTTAAAATCAAATGCATCTGGGGACTTCCCTGGTGGTCCCACAGCTAAGACTGTGCTCCCAATGCAGGAGGCCCAGGTTCAATCTCTGGTTAGGGAACTAGATTCCACAAGCCTTAACTAAAGGGTTCACAGGTCACAACAAAGATGGAAGATCCCATGTGCTGCAACTGAAACCAACACAGCCAAATAAATAAACAAAAATATTTAAAAAAATTTTTAAATCCAAAACATTTGAGAATACCTCCTGCTTTATTACCTGTGACACCTTGATCTACCTGAAGCTGTCTTTGATTTGCCTTCCAGTTGTTGGGAAGGCAAGCATGGGCTGTGAGAGATGGTCAAGGTCATCAGAAACTTCCTAGCACCTCTGGGAGAACATCCTTGTTTCTGAATATCCCAAGGTCTGAAACAACCAAGAAAAGAAGTGATTTTAAGCTGTTTGTTCACTTAGAAAATGGAAAACCATATGTGAAATAGATGACCACTGCAAGTTTGATGCATGAAGCAGGGCACCCAAAGCCAGTGCTCTGTGACAACCTAGAGGGATAGGGTGGGGGGAGGGAGGTAGGAGCAGTATTCAGGATGGGGACACATGTATATCTATAGCCAATTCATGTTGATGTATGGCAAAAACATCACGATATTATGAAGTAATTATACTCCAGTGGACAGAGAATCCAATGGACAGACAAGTCTGGTGGGCTACAGTCCATGGGGTCGCAAAGAGTCAGAGACAACTGAGCAACTAAACCACCACAATTATCCTCCAGTTAAATAAATAAAATTTTAAAAAAAGAAAAGAAAAAGAACAGATCACTGTGGCTCAGGGGGTGCCACTACTGGATGACTAGTGTACCAGATGTCTGGCCAGTATGTTTATCCATCTTTTTCCTGTATTTGCCCTCCAGGGATGCTGAGAACTTGCTGGAGTCACAGCCCCTGGGATCCTTCCTCATCAGGGTCAGTCACAGTCACGTGGGCTACACACTGTCTTACAAGTAAGGCCTGGGTTAGGGGCAGGGGCAGGGGGACTCTGGGGCCTACTTGGAGGGGCATGGGTACTTCATACCACAGCTTCTCAGCGAGCAACCATTGTGAGGGTCTGGTAGAATCTAACTGAAGAGTGGGTGGCTGCAGGTATGGCTGTAACCAGCAGACTTGGGCTTGATGGTAACAGAGACAGTGATAACAGGGATTGCGTGAGACCCAAGAGTATCTATTGCCTTTCCTCTGACTCCCTCTCCCCAACCATTTAAATGACAACTACCTGGACTTCCCTGCTGGCTCAGTGGTAAAGAACCCGCCTGCCAATGCAAGAGATGCAAGAGACACAGGTTCAATCCCTGGTCCGGGAAGATCCCACATGCCATGGAGCAGCTAAGCCCATGCCCCACAGCTATGCTCTAGAACCCAGGAGCCTCAACTCCTGAGCACCATAACTACTGAAGCCCAAGCTCTAGAGCCCGTGCTGTGCAATGAAAGGAGCCACTGCAATGAGAAGCCCAGGAACCAAAAGTAGAGAGTAGCCCCCGCTCTCTGAAACTAGACAAGTGCCTGCACAGTATAGAAGACCCAGCACAGCCAAAAACAAAATAATTAAATAAGGTAACTTAAATAAATAAATGGCAACTCCTTGACTTCCTTGGGGTCATGTTACAGAAAACCAGGGCAGCTCAGCTCCCTAAGTTTTCAAGGCCTGATCCAGCATCTCAGTTAGAGGAGTTAGTAGCACAAACTACTTTTCGAAAGGATTCCAGGCCAAAGGATTTTTTTTTTTCCAAAGGAATTTTTTAAATGGTCCTATTACAGAGTTATCCACAGAGGGAAAAGCTTACGCCTTCAGTTACTTAGGCAGCCCAAGGCTGCCACTTAACATGTTGTATGATCTTGGACAAGTCACTCACACTTTCTGTGCCTCCTTCAAAGTCCTCACCTCTAACATAAAAATGCTAAAGTTAATTCAGAGTCTTGATGTGAGGACTAAACGAGACATAACAAGCACATGTTTGCATTCATGCCAAGTCACTTTAATTGTGTCCTACTCTTTGCAACCCTATGGACCGTAGCCTGGCAGGCTCCTCTGTCCATGGAATTTATCAGACAAGAAAACTGGAGCAGGTTTCCATGCCCTCCTCTAGGAGATCTTCCTGACCCAGGGATTGAACCCACATCTCTTATGTCTCCTGCATTGGCAGGCGGGTTATTTACCACTAGCACCACCTGGGAAGCCCAGTAAGCACACAGTGGCCAATCAATAAATGCATTCATTCATTAATAATGAAACATTTATTGAGTACCTGTACCAATTTTCATTGTCATTTCTGTTGATCAATTACCCTTGCCAGGCATGGAGCTAAGCTTTTACCTGCAGTGGATTTTTCCATCTTCACAAGAAGGCCTGAGTAGCCTCCTGTTATAAAGGGGTAAACTGAGGCACAGTACAGTCACCTGCCAGGTGTCACGTGGCTAATGAGTGGAGGAGCTTACAAGGGAATCTAGGCAGCAGGCTGTAGTCATGATGCTGCCAGCTCAAGAGCTGAGGGTGGAGTGGGGAGGAGGGGTTGGGTTGGGAACCGTATGATGGAGAATGGGATAAACTAGCCCCAACTGTGTCTCCACAGAGCTCAGAACTGCTGCCACCACTTCATGGTGAAACTGTTGGATGATGGGAGCTTCATGATCCCTGGGGAAGAGAGGGCCCATGATTCTCTAGATGCTTTGGTCACCTTCTATCAGCAGCAGCCACTGCGGCCACATGGGGACCTGCTGATGCAATCCTGCCCACAGGTGAGGATTGGGACGCCCAAGGGCCAAGCCCTCCAAACCCTTTTGGTCCTGCATGCCCCCTCTGCCTCTGAAGATCCCATCATTCTTGCAGTCCCCGTTCCCCTGGGGCCCCGCCACTCCTGGTCCTTGTTCCCTGGGTACCCAGGCTAGTTTTTTTTTTACAGGGATTCATGTACCAGGTATAACCTTGGCTGACCTAGCAGAATAGCATATTTCCTTATAAGCCTCATTGGGTGGGGCCTAGCCCTGAGAAGGTGCTGTGGGAGGGACATATCTCCTTATAAGGATTGATGGGCGTGGCCTAGGCCCCCAGAAGTCATTGTGGGAGGAGGTGTGTCTCCTTATAAGGACTGATGGGCGTGGCCTAGGCCCTCAGAAACTGCTGTGGGAGGGACATAATTCCTTATAAGGATTGATAAGTGTGGCCTAGGCCCTCAGAAACTGGCTGTGAGTTTGGCATAGGCCTTATAAGGCCCAGAGGGCAGAGCCTAGCCCTCAGTAGTTGCTGTGAGAAGTTTTGTGGGTGGGACAGGACCCCAGCCCCATCCCTGTCCCCTTCCTTGGGACTGAGCTGTAGGTCCCCTCTGCCCTGCAGAAGGATCCAGAAAATGTGGATTATGAAGATCTCTTCCTTTACTCCAACGCATTGGCTGAAGAAGCCACCAGCTCTGCCCTTGGCTTCAACGAACATCAGATTCCCTCCTCTTATCCCATGGCCCCGCTCAAGGAGGTATGTGACAGAAAGGTGGCATCTCCAATCTTGAAAGTGGGAGGTGGGGTGGCAGGATGCAGGGGCAGAGGTGACCCACAGCTGCCAGAGGAGAGTCTCTAGAATGAAGATTAGATCCTGTTGTTGTTCAAGTCCCTAAGTTGTGTCTGAGGGTGGAGCTTGCCAATGACTTGGAGGCGGAGGGTAAGTGGGGAAGAAGGTAATTGTCATGGTTTGAATCCCCATGCCTGCATGCATGCTCAGTCACTTCAGTCATGTCTGACTCTTTGTGACCTTATGGACTATAGCCCTCCAGGTTCCTCAGTCCATGGGATTCTCCAGGCAAGAACACTGGAGTGGGTAGTCATTTCCTTCTCCGCCTTCTGCGTGGCCCATGAGCTAAGCACAGCCTTTGTGTTTTTGAATATTTGAAAGAAATCAAAAGACAAATAGTATTTCATGACCTGTGATAATCAGGTGAAACCCACATTTCTGTGTCCGTAAAGTATTATGAGAACACGGACATGCTAGCTCACTGACCATTATCTCTGGCTGCTTACACAACAACAGCAGAGCTGAGTAATGAGGCACAGACTATTGGACTCGCAAAGCTGAACACACTGGCTCTCTGAACCATTATGGAAAAAGTCTGCTGCACGCTGGGGGACATAGTGAAGCCCTTTACTGAGACAGGGAGGATGGGGCATGGGATCAGGTTTGGGAGGTTCTCTTGGGATCTTTCTCCATCCCAGGGTGTCTGGGTGGGACCTGGGTCCCCAGTTCTGGGGGAGATTCAGCGCTCTGGTGGGTGGGGTGGCCCCAGGTCTCACCTGTTCTCCGTTTCAGGCCTCTGCAAAGCCAGGCCTGCTCCATCAGTCAAAGGAAAGGAAGCTGTCAGCAAGGCTGGTAGGTGCATCCATGGAGGGTCCTCTTCGGGAGGCTTATCAGAAACTCTGGAGGAACCTCAAGATGCTCCCCAAGACAGGCAAGAAGGCCCAGCAACAGCTGAAATCCCACCTGGTGGCTTTGAGCTCATCGTCAGTGACCAACGGCTCAGAAACCGGGACAGGTGACACAGCCTGGGAAAATCACGTCGGCGAGGACCGCTCTGTGGCCACGTCCCCCGCGAGCCCCCCACAGCCTGGAGCTCCCAGAGACAGACGGGGCCCCTCCAGGAAAACCTCAAGGTCCGTCAGCTGGAGCGAGGCAACCTCGAAGGTCAGGGACTGGCACCAGACAGTAGTAAGGGTCCTGTCCTTACAGGCGTCCAAGCCAGAACCAGTGGACTTGAGAGACCCACAGGACTCTCTCCCCGAGGAGTACCGCCCCCCACCACCCTTCGCCCCTGGGTACTGCTAGTTTCACCCTGGCTCTGGGACCCTCACTGCTGGGGGCTGTTCATGCCTAGGCATCTTGCTTTCTGCCGCAACCCACTAGCCCTCAGGGACCTGAGAGATGTAATTAAAACATTGCTTGGGTCTGGTCCTATGATTGCCAGTGGGGTAACCTGGTCATTTAAATAATAATAATAAGGGTTTCCCTGGTGGTCCAGTGGTTAAGACTCCATACTTCCACTGCAGGGGACACAAGTTCAATCTCTGGTTGGGGCACTAAGATCCAACCTGCCATGTGGCAGGGCCAAAAGATAATAGTACTAATAACAATCAGTTATAGCAATGGGGTTAGGACACCTACTGTGTGCCAGGCCTCACACTAGACCCTCCACATTCATTATTTCTTTGATGCCTCTCGGCAGACCCAGGGACTTTACTGGTGTCTCAAATGGTAAAGAATCTTCCTGCAATGCAGGAGACCTAGGTTCATTCTCTGGATCAGGAAGATCCCCTGGAGAAGGGAATGGCAGCCCGCTCCAGTATTCTTGCCTGGAGAATCCCATGGACAGAAGAGCCTGAAAGGGACTAACACTTTCACTTTTTTTTCACCTTCTGTGTAGGTCCACCAGGTAGGCTCATTCTGCATATTTTAAAGAAGAGGCAGGGGAATTCCCTGGCAGTTCTGTGGTTAGGGTTCTGCTCTCTCACTGCCAAGGGCCCAGGTTTGATCCCTGGTCAGGGAATTAAGATTCCACAAGCCTCGAGGTGCAACCAAAAAAAAAATTAAATTAAATTTAGAAAAAAAGAAGAGACAGGTTCAGAGAGGAGAAGAGGTATGGCCAAAGTCACACACATGGCTGGGGTGTCAGCACCAGGACTTGAAGCCGGGGCGGTTTGAACTCTTTCTCCGCATCCCCTGCACCTGGGCACAGCTGTTCATGCCTTCCCCCTGGGTTTTTGTGCACATGGAGGAGATGAGACTCGAGGAAAGCTCAGCACAGTAGCATTCCTGACATCCGTGGCGGCTATAGAAGAAGCATAGGAGGCCTTTGCTTTAAGAAGGGAGAGGCAGCCCAGGGCTGTGGTTGAGAGTGGGCTCAGGAGGAAATCTTGGGTTGTGGGGCTGTGTGACCTTTGATGAGTTGCTCTCTGGGCCTGTTTCCTCATACAGAAAATAAGAAGAGCAGTCCCCTTTTTCTCGGGATGAACCAGCAGAATGTGAATAAAACCTAGGGCTTTGGCGCACAGTTGGTGCTTAATAAATGGGGATTATGGTGGGAGGGGGCACCCTGGAAATGATGCACTCTGGAGGTGTCTGGGAAGGTCCCTGGAGTCTGGTTTCAGTCACAAGAATGATTACTCCTTGGATGGATCAGGGCCATGGAATGGGCCCCCAGGATGACTCTAGGTGGAGTAGAGTGCTGTGCTGTGCTTAGTCGCTCAGTCGTGTCCGACTCTTTGCGACCCCATGGACTGTAGCCCACCAGTCTCCTCTGTCCATGGGGATTCTCCAGGCGAGAATACTAGTGGGTTGCTATGCCCTCCCCCAGGGGATCATCCCACCCCAGGGATTGAACCTAGGCCTCCCACATTGCAGGCAAATTCTTTACTGTCTGAGCCCCCAGGGAAGCCCAAGAATACTGGAGTGGGTAGCCTATCCCTTCTCCAGGGAATCTTCCCGACTCAGGAATCAAACCAGGGTCTCCTGCATTGCAGGCGGATTCTTTACCAGCTGAGCTACCAGGGAAGCCCAAGTGGAATAGTGTGTGGCTTCCCAAATCTGCAAGATGTGAGGTTTGGGATCTGCAGTGAGGTGGGCCTGGGCTCAAGTCTGCCCCTGCAAATGACTTCAGGTGTGGCCCTGGGCAAGTCACTCCACTGTCTCTGAATGAAGTGGGAGTGCTTCTCTGCCAGCCCTGCTGGGATGTCACAGGGGGTCAACACAGTGGCAGAATGGCAGGTGCTTCATGACTATAAAGCACTGTGCCAGCCTCAGTGAGTGACATTCCTGCCCAGAGGCCTCCTCTGGCAGTTCTAATGAATCAATGAGGAGGTGAAGCTTTAGTCTCCTTGAGAAATTCAGGGATTGAGTGGGGAAAGAGGGACTTGAGTAGTCATGTTTCACCCCTGGGGATGCCCTGGGGTGGGACAGCAGGGGCCTCATCTCCTATGCCCACTGGGCAAGTCACGTCCAGCCCTCACAGTGGAGAGATGTCCAGAGTCAGCCCTTTCCTTGTACAAATGGGAAAGTCGTGGCCCACAGAGGGTGCAGCCGCACCAGAATCACACAGTGAGGACAGAGGTGCTATCCCAGGCTGTCTCCCTCTGATCTACCAGGTTTCGGGGGGAAACACATTTTCCAGGCAGCTGTGACTCAGTGATGTGTGTTTATTCCCAGAGCCCAGGGAAACCAGACTTCACAGCAGGATGACAGGTTCGTCCCGATGTCCTCTGGCCCGGCTCCTCCTCCGTGGTACCCTCAGATGCGGATGTGGAAGGTGCTGGGTGCAAAGAGGAAAGGAGTCTGTCAGACTGTCAGTCTGTCAGTCTGTCAGGAGGCAGAGAGCAGCCTCCCTTCATCCTCTTCCCCAACACTCCCACCAGGAGTCCCCAAAGCAGGCAAGGAGCCAAAGAGGGTGGGTGGGGGGAGATGGACCCCTTCAATAAACCCTAGGCCATGGTCTTCCTGGCCCCTACAGGGGTTGAGAGCACATCCTTTTGAATCAGAGATTACATCCTGTCTCTGCCCCAGACTCTGGGCCTCAGTTTACTTCCCTGTAAAATGAGGGTAATGGCAACCTCCTCCAAAAGGACTTATCACCTACCAGGTGATGCAGCAGTCATTGCCCCTACCATAGTTTGACCTCAGGCCAAACCACAGGGAGGGAACACAGCCCCACCCATCAGCAGAAAATTGGATTAGTTACTGAGTGTGGCCCTATCTCACACGCTAGTAAAGTAATGCTCAAAATTCTCCAAGCCAGGCTTCAGCAATACATGAACCGAGAACTTCCAGATGTTCAAGCTGGTTTTAGAAAAGGCAGAGGAACCAGAGATCAAATTGCCAATATCCGCTGGATCACAGAGAAAGCTAGAGAGTTCCAGAAAAAATCTATTTCTGCTTTATTGACTATGCCGAAGCCTTCGACTGTGTGGATCACAATAAACTGTGAAAAATTCTGAAAGAGATGGGAATACCAGACCACCTGACCTGCCTCTTGAGAAACCTGTATACAGGTCAGGAAGCAACAGTTAGAACTGGACATGGAACAACAGACTGGTTCCAAACAGGAAAAGGAGTACGTCAAGGCTGTATATTGTCACCCTGCTTATTTAACTTATATGCAGAGTACATCATGAGAAACGCTGGGCTGGAAGAAGCACAAGCTGGAATCAAGATTGCTGAGAGAAATATCAGTAACCTCAGATATGCAGATGACACCACCCTTATAGCAGAAAATGAAGAGGAACTAAAAAGCCTCTTGATGAAAGTGAAAGAGGAGAGTGAAAAAGTTGGCCTACAGCTTAACATTCAGAAAACTAAGATCATGGCATCTGGCCCCATTACCTCATGGGAAATAGATGGGGAGACAGTGGAAACAGTGTCAGACTTTATTTTTTTGGGCTCCAAAATCACTGCAGATTGTGATTGCAGCCATGAAATTAAAAGACGCTTACTCCTTGGAAGGAAAGTTATGACCAACCTAGATAGCATATTAAAAAGCAGAGACATTCCTTTGCCAACAAAGGTCCGTCTAGTCAAAGCTATGGTTTTTCCAGTGGTCATGTATGGATGTGAGAGTTGGACTGTAAAGAAAGCTGAGCGCTGAAGAATTGATGCTTTTGAACTATGGTGTTGGAGAAGACTCTTGAGAGTCCCTTGGACTGCAAAGAGATCCAACCAGTTCATCCTGAAGGAGATAAGTCCTAGGTGTTCAATGGAAGGACTGATGCTGAAGCTGAAACTCCAATACTTTGGCCACCTGATGTGAAGAACTGACTCATTGGAAAAGACCCTGATGCTGGGAGGGATTGGGGGCAGGAGGAGAAGGGGACAACAGAGGATGAGACGGCTGGATGGCATCATCAACTCGATGGGCATGAGTTTGAGTAAACTCCGGGAGTTTGTGATGGACAGAGAGGCCTGACACGCTGGGATTCATGGGGTCGCAAAGAGGCAGACACGACTGAGCGACTGAGCAACTGAACTGAACTGAGTGTGGCCCCGCCCACCAGAGCAAGACCTAGTTTTCCCCACAGCCAGTCCCTCCCACCAGGAATTTACACAAACCTCATCCTCATCCATCAGAGGGCAGACAGAATGAAAACCACAATTACAGAAAACTAACCAAACTGATCACATGGATCACAGCCTTGTCCAACTCAGTGAAATTACGAGCCATGCCGTGTAGGGCCACCCAAGATAGATGGGTCATGGTGGAGAGTTCTGACAAAATGTGGTGCATTGAACAAGGGAATGGCAAACCACTTCAGCATTCTTGCCTTGAGAACCCCACGAACAGTCTGAAAAGGCAAAAAGATATGACACTAAAAGATGAACTCCCCAGGTTGGTAGGTGCCCATTGTGCTTCTGAAGAAGAGTGGAGAAATAGCTTCAGAAGGAATGAAGAAGCTGAGCCAAAGCGGCAACAATGCCCAGTCTGGAGGTGAAAGTAAAGTCCGATGCTGTAACGAACAATATCGGAAAGGAACAGGGAATGTTAGATCCGTGTGTGCTGTGCTGTGCTTAGTGGCTCAGTCGTGGCCGATTCTTTGCGACCATGTGGACTGTAGCCCACCAGGCTTCTCTGTCCATGGGGATTCTCCAGGCAATACTGGAGTGGGTTGTCATCCCTCCTCCAGGAGATCTTCCCAACTCAGGGATCAAACCCAGGTCTCCTGCATTGCAGGTGGATTCCTTACCATCTCTGAGACACCAGGGAAGCCCATTAATCAAAATAAATTGGAAGTGGTCAAACAGGAGATGGCAAGAGTGAACACTGACATTTTAGAAATCAGTGAACT